GTTGCTTAACCCTCTCGAACTGGGAGCAGACATTGTCTATGAAAGTGGAACCAAGTACTTGTCGGGTCACCATGATCTCATGGCTGGAGTGATCGCTGTCAATGACTTGGCTCTCGGCGAGCGATTGTACTTCCCCATCAATGCCTCTGGTTGCGGTTTGTCTCCGTTCGATTCTTGGCTGTTGATGCGTGGAGTGAAGACCCTCAAGGTACGCATGGACCAGCAGCAAGCAAACGCACAACGTATTGCGGAATTCCTCGAGTCCCATGGGTTCAAGGTCCGATACCCTGGGTTGCGGTCGCACCCTCAATATGACCTCCACCACTCGATGGCTCGTGGAGCTGGAGCTGTGCTCTCATTCGAGACGGGAGATGTCGGTGTGAGTGAGCGTATCGTTGAGAGTGCCAAGCTATGGGCTATCAGCGTTAGCTTCGGCTGCGTGAACAGTTTGATCAGCATGCCTTGCCGGATGAGTCATGCTAGTATTGATGCGAAGACGCGCCAGGAGCGCGCCATGCCGGAGGATCTCATCCGTCTGTGCGTTGGTATTGAAGATGCAGATGATCTGATTGACGATCTGACAAGGGCGGTAAGTTTGTCGCTCTCAATGCCCTGTTGATAACTTTTGGGCTAATCCATTTCTTTAGCTGGTACAAGCTGGAGCCGTCAACCTGACCTTGGATGATTTCCAAGCGAACACGACCAACAATTGATTTACGTATACATAATGTACCTGCATGTGTTTTTTGGGTTCTCATGGTGGAAAAATAAATGCGTGGGCATATCTCGGGTGGTACATTGATGCGGCGTTCGGAGCCTCTGCTATTTTTGCTAAAGTTTTCTTGTACAAACTACATAAAGATGCTCTATAAAATAAACAGTATCTATATGTGATTACCCGAATCTGGTTCCCATGGCAATTCTGCGGTAAAAAGTTTTGGTCAGAAAAACCGGGTGGCAGCTATAAACATATATCCGTGTCCTGGGGAACATTTGCCGGGGTACCGCTCGGCCGGCACCGGAGGGTTTCCGAGTCACCGGTAAGGCCTTTATCGGCCGGTCCATTCTCGTCCGCGATGATAGTCAGCGAGTCAGCATATTGCGTTTCCCCCTACGCTCGGAAATTGAGATGTCATCTCCATTCGTCTCTGCTTCGGCAGGATGTCTTTGTAATTTTGGTTACCCTGATTTCTTCTGTTGAGCCTTCTTTCCCCTACGCGACGGGTGCCCTGTTGGTGTTTACATGACGTCTCTTGTCAGCGTCGCGTCCCTTCGTTGAGCTTTTATCGTTGACTCATTTTTGCTATATCTTGAGTCTACAGTCGTTCGGCGCCATTGAAGAGTATGCCGGGAAATGCGATCTCCCCTGATGGGGCTCTCTCCATGCAGGCTGTCACTGAGCGGCCAACATCCACTTGGAATACCAGCCGATTAGGTTCGCGACTGGGCGTGGATATCGCCAGTGCTGCCACAGCAGGCGCTTTGACGTGCCCCGTTATTACTGTTATCGATCGGTAGGCGTGCAATCTCGCCGGTCCTTTGCTGCAAAAGTCTGACTTTAGCTGCTTGATAGTGCGATCATCGAGAAAGCATCCAAAGGCATTCCCATTCGACAGACGATCACATCATGTTTCGGGTCTATGATTCGTCATCCAGCGGGCTTCTTCCTCAGTACACCGTTTATCCTTATATATACACTCTACACATCGACATATTTGACCGCCAATGCCATTGACACGATCTCGTCGACCATGCGCAATGAACCGTTTTCCTCCGTATTTGCCGGAACAGCCAAGTTCCTCGCCACGACGACGGTGAACATGGGAATCTGTGTATACAAGGACGCCAGGTTCGCGCGGATATTTGGCGCACAGTCCAAGGCTACACCATCTCCGTCATCCACATCTGCGCACACGGCCTCTCCCCCGGCCTCCTGTCACCCCTCCGGCGCTGCTACGGTACCCAAGGTCTCATATGCCCTCTTCTGTCTCCGCGATAGCATCACCATCTTCGCTTCCTTCAACGTCCCCACGCTAATAGCGCCATCGATCCCCGATTATATTGCATCTACACCCGGGATGAAGGCAGCCGTAGCTCAATTCTCCTGTCCGGCCCTCATGCAATTCGCCAGCACACCCATGCACCTGCTGGGCCTGGATCTTTATAACCGGCAACCGCCGGGAGGATTGGGCTGGCGCGAGCGAGTATCACGTATTCGCCGCGATTATATCCCCAGCTGTTTTGCCCGGATGGGGAAGATCGTGCCCGCCTACGGTGTAGGAGGTGTGGCTAATGTGCGGCTAAGATCTGCTATGATGCAATATCTAGAACGGGCGGAGAAGTGATGTCTCCCCCTTCTGCTTCTTCTCTGCCTTTTTTGCGCGTTTTAACTCTTTATCGCCCTTCTTAATCCCTTTGTTATCCACTCTCCACTCAACTATCATTAAGGTTGGCATCGGCGTTTGGTTTTCCAATTGGCGTTGGTATAGATCTAGATCTACGTGTGACGACATCTAATGTTGATGGCCGTGGCCAGTCAGATGGTTGAGCTACTTTCTGGCCATGTCTATCGATATTCATTGTATATGTGGTTGGGAATCTGCACAGACAGACGGTAGAATATGTTTGGCTAATATATTGAGCTGAATTGGTATTGCAGTAAATATCTTTGGAATAATGGTATTACCTGTGGATTAGATTCGACGATTCATTTGGGCTGATATCTATGTGACTTGAATCCGAAAAGTCCGACCTATATCTTGCGGACTTCTTGGACCTTTCGATTCTTGTCGACGATCAAATGAAGCTGTCTGTCCTCCCAGCCGGTAGAAGGTCTAGATGCGGCTGTTGTATGTGGAACAGGCCTGAAGGTACCTGCTCGAAGGCCTTCGGTGAAGAGCTCATATGAGGGGTAGTCTGCTTTCGTTAGCATGGCACTCTTTTCATGCATCATTTTGCAAATAGAGAAAAAAGGAACGGGGTAGCATACAGCCATTGACAAAGTGCGTGACCTGTTCCGGGGTCATGCCCGTTCCTTTGGCAGCAAGAAGCGTTCGTTCTTGTTCCTGTCGCCAGTCATAGACAAAGTGTGAGTCTTGGGCATCACTGCAGATCATGTTAGATTCCACATATGGATATCGAAGCAAATGGTAAAACCCGCAGGCTGGGAAACCTTACATGTGGATCAAAGCATCCAACTGACTGTGGTAGATTGTCCGTTAGCCGTTATACCTCCTACTTGAGTCGCATCCAACAAGACAGGAGGGTCTAAACTCACTCAGTGATCAGATCATATTCCTTCAGCGCATCATTCACAGCCTTGACAGCCTCAAATGGCACATATCCCAACCGTCCATCATAGTCACCCTTCTCTTTCCGCCTAACAGCATCATCCCACTTCTCGCGCAGGAGCTGATCATCCACAGCGCGGAAACCGACACACCAGCCCTCGAAAATGACTACCTTTATCTTCTCCTGCCCCTCACCATTCACGGTCTCCCATTGCGACTCGGGTACGCGATCACCCTGCCCCGCATACGCTGATTTATCATACTGCGGAATAGCCGTGGCTCGGCCCGCGCGGAGGGATTCAAAGACCTCCTTGGCTAATGGCAGATCATGTGTACCTGGTTGCCCGCGATGCTGCAGTAGCGGATTTGCAGGGTGCGACTTGGCGAGATTGATCTGTTCCTCATGGGTGAGGTATAGATCGTCAAGCGAGAGCGTGATAACGGGGAGGGAGTATGGCGGGGAGCGGAGAGTCGATTGTAGGGTGGACACCTTTATATTTTTGCAATAGAACCGTCAGACATCTATTTCGACGTAGTTCAACCAACATAGACTAGATTCCTCGCATCAATTCATACCAGCACCGTCTTTCCGGCTCCCTGGACGCCATTCAACCCCAGAAAGAATGGTGGGGTTCTGGCCGGGTCGTTTCCGAACCGCTCTTGGTGGGCTTTTAATCGCTCCAGCAGGAACGGGATGCAGTGTTGGGATTTGTCGTCGATGATCTCGGGCATTTTTGGTGGTTTATTTTGGTCTTTACTGTGTTGGCTCTTTTGTCCTCGAGTTTTTTTCCTTGCTACGGCTACGTTTGTTCAGGGTGATTATGTTTTATATGGCGGACTAAGAAGAAAAGTTGCCATGTCGGAGGTGCGCCGAAGCGGAGAACCTGGAGATTCGAATGTCCGGGCGGTGGGGGACAAATGTTGTGCCTGAGAGATTAACCATGCACCTGATCATTGTGGTGGTCTTTCAACGGCGAAAGGGAATTTTGGACACGGAATCTCGTCACAGGGGGGACTGTAGTATTTAAATCTCTTCCCTTTTCGATTACTGAACATTTGACCGTCTCAGGACCGACACGTGATGATGACGTCGAATCACATGTCTGAGTCAGCAAGGTAATCGATTGCCTGATTGGGTTAGCCTGTGTATAAATCGAGGTGGTCGTATAGATTACATAATAATGCGGATACATAGTGTTAGCGTCGGCAGCCAGACATGGGAAATTTCCATGCTGGAGTGCTCGACAGAGGTGCACGGCAGCGAGATTATGCATCTAATGAGGAGAGATCTCTAAAATACACCATCTATGCCTAAGGAACGCCGAAATACTCGACGAAATATGGGGTTCTCGATCCAGGAGAGCTATATCGGCATGTGAAGGAGGGATCATCTGCCTAGATCCGCTTGGTGAGTGGGAACCTCCGAGCTTCAAAGCAACCACAAAGATGCCGAGGTTCCAAATTCATAGCGTCCTTGCCGAGCACCGCGACCGTCCACTTACTCCCCCAGATCTAAAGGCTTCTTCAACTCTGCTTTCCCCCAGACTTTCCCCTCATACTTAAACTTACCACTGTCCTCCCTAAGTCCTCGTTGAACTTTGAATACTTTGTCTATCCTCCTCTCCTCCCCTCTTCTCCCTTCCTCCCCAATACTACTGAAACATTCAGTGCGGAGGCACCACGTCATTACATTCTCTGTGCTTGCTTTTCCCTTTCCTTTTTGTTGTAATTATACCCGTACAAGATGTCTGAGCTGCGCTTCGACAACCAAACCGTCGTTGTGACGGGAGCCGGCGGTGGTCTCGGTAAGGCCTATGCTACCTTCTTTGCCTCGAGGGGCGCAAACGTCGTTGTGAACGACTTGGGTGGTTCTCACTCTGGTGAGGGCCAGTCGTCAAAGGTACGAGCCGAACTATGGTCACATGCAGGTTCTGGAATACGGTTACTAACATGGACTCTCGACTATAGGCTGCTGATGTGGTCGTCGAGGAGATCCGCGCTGCCGGAGGCAAGGCAGTCGCCAACTACGACAGCGTTGAGAACGGCGAAGCTATTATTGATACCGCCATCAAGAACTTCGGCCGCGTTGATGTCCTCATTAACAACGCCGGTATTCTCCGGGATGTCAGCTTTAAGAATATGAAGGACCAGGACTGGGACCTTATCACCAAAGTTCACACCTATGGTGCATACAAGTGCGCAAGAGCCGCATGGCCTCATTTCCGGAAACAGAAGTACGGCCGTGTCATTAACACTGCCTCGGCTGCTGGTCTCTTCGGTAACTTTGGCCAGGCCAACTACTCTGGTAAGTGCCTATGAATACAGACTATTCATAGATCAAGAACCTGACAGTACATTTAGCCGCGAAGCTCGGTCAGGTCGGTTTCACCGAGACCCTCGCCAAGGAGGGCGCCAAGTACAACATCATTGCCAACGTCATTGCACCTATCGGTATGGAAAGAATACCAATCGTTTATTATAACGAATGCTGACTTGTAACAGCCGCTAGCCGCATGACTGCCACCATTATGCCCCAGGATGTTCTGGATCTTCTCAAGCCCGAATGGGTTGTTCCCTTGGTGGCCGCTTTGGTGCACCCCTCTAACACAACCGAGACCGGTGGAATCTACGAAGTCGGTGGTGGCCACGCTGCCAAGCTGCGCTGGGAGCGTGCCAAGGGTGCTCTGCTCAAGACCGACGACTCCTTGACCCCCGGTGCTATCGCTAGGAAGTGGAACGATGTCAACGACTTCTCTCAGCCCGAGTATCCGACTGGCCCGGCTGACTTCATGACCCTCTTGGAGCAGGGCTTGAAGACCCCCAGCGCCCCGTCTGGCGAGGAGCCTGACTTCAAGGGCAAGGTTGCTCTTGTCACTGGTGGTGGTAACGGGTATGTGTTTCAGAATATCGCTTGAAGATTACTGTTTCTAACTCTTTATAGTCTCGGACGCGCGTACTGTCTGCTCTTTGCCAAGTATGGCGCCTCTGTGGTGGTGAACGATCTGGTCGACCCTGAGCCCGTTGTGCAGGAAATTAAGAAGATGGGCGGAAAGGCTGTCGGTAACAAGGCTTCCTGCGAAGATGGCGCCGCCGTTGTTAAGACTGCCATCGATGCTTTCGGACGTATCGATATTCTGATCAACAACGCCGGTATCCTGCGTGACAAGGCCTTCACCAACATGAACGACGACCTGTGGAACCCTGTTATCAATGTCCACCTCCGTGGTACCTACAAGGTTACCCAGGCCGCTTGGCCTTACATGCTTAAGCAGAAGTATGGCCGTATCGTCAACACTGCAAGCACCAGCGGCATCTACGGTAACTTCGGCCAGGCCAACTACGCCGCGGCCAAGCTTGGCATCCTCGGTTTCTCCCGTACCCTCGCCATCGAGGCGCCAAGTACAACATCAAGGTCAACACCATCGCTCCTAACGCCGGTACCAACATGACCCGTACTATCATGCCCGAGGAGATGGTCCAGGCCTTCAAGCCCGACTACGTTGCTCCTCTCGTGGTTCTTCTTTCCTCGGATATTGTCCCTGGAACCGGTACCAAGGGTCTGTACGAGTGCGGCAGCGGCTGGTTCTCTAACACTCGCTGGCAGCGCTCTGGTGGTCACGGTTTCCCTGTGGACGTCAAGCTGACCCCTGAGGAGGTTGTCAAGAACTGGAACAAGATCACCAACTTCGACGACGGCCGTGCGGACCACCCCGAGGACAGCCAGGCTGGTTCTGAGAAGGTCATGGCCAACATGGGCAACCGCAGTGATGCCTCCGAGGGTGGCAACGACATCTTGGCCAACATCGAGAAGGCCAAGCAGGCGACCACCGATGGAACTGCTTTCGAGTACAGCGACCGGGATGTCATTCTCTACAACCTCAGCTTGGGTGCTAAGCGCACCGACCTGCCTTTCGTGTACGAGAACAATGAGCACTTCCAGGCTATTCCCACCTTCGGTGTGATCCCTTGGTTCAACACCGCCGTGCCTTACAACATGGACGACATTGTGAAGAACTTCTCCCCCATGATGCTGCTGCACGGTGAACAGTACATGGAGATCCGCAAATTCCCCATCCCCACCGAGGCCAAGACCCTGACCTTCCCCAAGCTCATTGACGTTGTTGACAAGGGTGCCGCTGCTCTCGTCGTCGCCGGTTTCACCACCAAGGACGCAAAGACTGGAGAGGACCTCTTCTACAACGAGTCCACCGTTTTCATCCGTGGCAGTGGCGGCTTCGGCGGATCCCCCAAGCCCACCGCTGCCCGCCCCAAGGGAGCCACCGCGGCGTACAAGGCTCCTCAGCGCAAGCCGGATGCTGTTGTCGAGGAGAAGACCTCTGAGGATCAGGCTGCCCTCTACCGTCTCAACGGCGACCGCAACCCTCTCCACATTGACCCTGAGTTCAGCAAGGTCGGTGGCTTCAAGACTCCTATCCTGCACGGTCTGTGCTCCCTGGGTGTCTCTGGTAAGCACGTGTACAGCAAGTTCGGTGCCTACAAGAACATCAAGGTTCGCTTTGCCGGTGTCGTCCTGCCCGGTCAGACTCTGAGGACCGAGATGTGGAAGGAGGGCAACACCGTCCTGTTCCAGACCACTGTTGTGGAGACTGGCAAGCCCGCCATTAGCGGCGCCGGTGTTGAGCTGTTGGACGGAGCCAAGGCCAAACTGTAAATTATAATTAAACCGACTACTTTTTGCGTGATGGCGAAATGATGGGATTAAATTGTGTACATAGATATTACGATTTCTGTTTCTTTCCAATTTAGCAATCTCCTTCAGGTTGAATTTAAAAATGTGCTTGCCTTTTCAACTCGATGTACCTGAGTGAGAATGGGACTTGTTCTTGGTTGAAAGTACATGTCCAGGCCTTGTAGAAGCTTCTTCTATTATGGTTAGACATGTTGGATAGATCTAATAACGAAAGTCAACGCCACTAACCCCCATATGACGAAGACCAAGTTGGTATATAGCTGAAGAATAAATTGCCCCACCGTCCGATAAGCGACGCAAATTTAACTTGACTCTCCATAGGTATCCACTAAGTTCAAGCTCATATCAATGATCTCCCTAGGGCCTACATTAGCTCGAATTTGTATTCCAGAATTCCCACTACATGTGATCCACTGTTCAACTCTCGATGTACACCGTAGAGCCTGTGCCTCACATCTCAACTCCCAAGCTAATATGAAGCATTCCATGTCGGCCACTGGTCGAGCCAGATCGACAGCGCCGGGAGCTGGAATATTGCTAGTTTATAGTATAATAAATGATCTCTTTGGCGGGCTAAAACAGATACCCGTGGAGAGACCTGGGAACTGGGAATTGCTGTCTACCACTTGGTCCTACAAATGATTGACAACCAAACAAGCAGCTGGGTATGACACGTTCGGAGGTGGATATCCGCTGAAGATGATTATACTGACTCATATACGGGGTCCGAATTTGCCTGGCCTGATCAAGTTCATTGAGCTAAATATCAACTTGATCGGACTAAGAATATGGGTTGGCGGGCACGAAGCTCGCTTTTCCAGGCCGTCTTGCCGGCACTGTATAGCATGTGGCTTACTTTATCGCGGATTCACACCTTGAGATACCTCGGTCTCACTATGTCGGGTGATATAGGCGGCAGGTGGGATTCAATTCACCTACAACTGCATATCTCTCTGGATGTCTCTGGGGCGTTTAACGTACCTTGTGCGGCACCCGAGGTAAATAGCTCTAAAGACACAGGTAAAATACGGTATAGTGAGTGCTTTATGGAGTTGTTCATCTTTACAAGCATAGTCAGCTATGTTTGTTTCTTGACATTTTCGCAATATCTTCTCTCCAATGCTATAATACACTAGACATTGTACCTATTTGCTATATTTTGAGATGAGCAGATTCGTTCTATGAACTTAGAATCTACATAGAGACTTACTAGTATATTCTAGCGGCCTCTAACGCTATGTATATATTTTGTAGATCAGAGATATAATATTATTTATATTTAACTATAGGAATAGTGTTCAGTAGTGACGGGTAGAAGGTCTAGATTCCCCCAACATCGGCCCGCCGTACGGTCATGTACCGTAACACAATACCATTGACTGGTTGTCAACTTCACTCAACCGTCTCCATAACTCTCCAACTCCACTTATCTCTAGGCAGACAATTTATTAACTCTCAATTTCGAGCGCATCCTCAGGCTACCCCGTATACCCCCTTACTTTAACTTCTTTTCGCCTCAGGCCGACCATGTAGCAGACTTCCCCATCGATACAACGATGGTCCTCTCGCTACCTGTCCCGAGTTTCTCCAAATCCCCAACATCAACATCAACATCATCTCCCCTCCGGCCCAACGACACCAACCAATCCACCACCATCAGCGAAGCCCTCCGCAACAACCCATTCGGCACCACCTCACGCTCGCGTCTAATCCCCACACCCACCACTCCAACCGCAGAACAAGCCCGCGAACAAGAAGAACTCAACAACGCCCTAGAGACCCTCGCACGAATCTTCCCGGACGTGAAGATCGAAGTCTTCCGCGAATTACTTGTGCGATTCGATGGGGAGAGCCGACTGCGTGTCTGCGTTGAGCAGCTCTTGCGTCATAAAGAGGAATGGGTCGCCGGCCGGTGGAACGTCCCCGGGGATAACGCCGAGGCGGCGCCGGTGACTGGGGCCGGGGTGGTTCCGCGGAATGAACGGTTTCGGACGACTGAGTATAAGATCGCTGTGAGAACGGTGCTGCTGAAGGAATTCAGCGGGTTGAGCAAGAGTACGGTCGATGCGGTTCTGGCGGAAGTGAATTTCTGTTATGTGCGTGCGAGGCCGACGTTAAGAGATCTTTCGAAGAGGACGTGGCGGGCGACGTTTAATAGTCTCTTTCCTTCTTTTAAGAGTAAGAGGGATAAGGAGGAGAGTCCCTTGATTGTGTGGCAGCGGCAGACGAATGGGGAGGCGGTTCCGGCGTTGAAGGAGACAGGGTGTGCGGAGTTGGATCGGGAATTGCATGATGCTTTGCTGGCGCCGCTGCTGAGCGCGAAGAAAGAGGAGTGTGAGGATCGGGATCGGAGGTTGGCAGAGGAACTGAATCAGGATGAGGCGAAGGCAGCTGCTGCGCTCTATGAGTGCGAGTGCTGTTTATCCGACGTGACGTTCGAGCAGATCTCAACTTGTTCGGAGAATATGCATATCATCTGCTATGACTGTATCCGGCGGACGATCCAGGAGGCACTGTTCGGTCAGGGCTGGGGGAAATCAGTCGATGTGGAGCGTTCGACTCTGAAGTGTCTGACCCCCTTCGCCCATGACGGCTGTAATGGGAGCTTGCATCCGGAGGTCGTTAAACGAGCTATCCTCCTTGACAAGGGCGGAATTGAGACCTATCTTAAGTTTGAAGGTCGGCTGGCTTCAGACGCTCTTCTCAAGTCTCAGCTGAAGCTCATTCGCTGTCCCTTTTGCTCGTACGCGGAGGTTGATTCGGTTTATCATCCATCGGCGAAGGGGATCACTTGGCGCTTTCGTCGGGATGGGATCATCTCCACGATTATACTTACCATCCTCCTCCTAGATACGATACCCTTGCTCTTCATTCCCGTGATTATTCTCTACATTCTAGATCCTTCCACCGTTCAGAACTTCCTGCGCAACTCTTTCCTGAACCTGTGTCTTAAGGTGCGGCCGAAGAGGTTCACCTGCGCAAACCCATTATGTCAACGCGTCAGCTGCATAACATGCCAAAAGCCATGGCGTGACCCTCATGTCTGCTTTGAACCACTCTTGCTCGATTTACGAGCCACTGTGGAGGCCGCTCGCACGGCTGCAGTGAAACGCACCTGTCCCCGCTGCGGCCTGTCCTTCGTCAAATCCTCCGGCTGCAACAAGTTAACCTGCGTCTGCGGGTACTCCATGTGCTACCTCTGTCGCAAAGGCCTCAGCCCCCCATCCAAAGCCCCCCAATGGTTCCGTCCCAGGCAACGTCAACAAGAAAACATCAACCCAGCAAATGAAGCAGAGCACGACGACCAAAACATCGATGACGAAGAATTCGAAGAACCAGAGGGCTACAAGCATTTCTGCGAACATTTCCGCATCAACCCAGGAGCTCGCTGTACCGAGTGCAACAAATGCGAGCTCTACCAAGACGAAGACGAAGAAGCCGTCGCGCGTCGTGCGGGCGAGAAAGCCGAACGTGATTGGCGCATGCGGCAAGGCATGGCCAGCGTCGGAGTCCGGTCTTTCCAGGTCAACAGGTCCTTCTCACGACAGAACAAGTCAGGCGGCGGATTATCATTGCCAGGTCAAGGGAAGAATCTGACCTACTGGGTAGATGAAGTGTGGCGGGAGGGCCGGTGGAAGATGGAAGGACAGGCCTTTGTGGATTGGGTCGTGGAACGGGTGGTTGTCATTGATGAGATTTGAGCTTTTTCTTTCCAGATTTCGGTCTTTTTGGGTTTTACTTAGATCGTGTTTTAATATCGGCGTTTGGCATTGGGCAAAACAGACCCGTTGCATGGATTCTTTGATGATGTGACGAGATATGACATTCCTTTGGCTACTTGACGTTCTCTTCTCTATTGGATTAATATACCTTTGCCATTTGAGATACATTGTGCTACATTTTCGCCAATAAAGTAGTTTATGTCTGTATTCTACTTCCACATCCCTCGTGTGAGTTGACTCCCAGAAAGTAAACCCGAACTCCATTTCAGATCACTGCTCTACAGCGATGACAGAATCGCAACGGACCAACGGTATACGACATGCTCTCTTGGCCCGAAGTAGGCGGCGCATCTCCTGCGGCGAACGACTAGTACTAGTTAGTTAAGTTAGGGCCAACTTCTGTTACCAGTTCTCTCCGTCTAAACAATATCTAGCTATATCATCCACGGATGAAGTAGACTGTGCCCCAAGGGCCATCGTGAAGAATGGGGATAGGTGAGCGCTACAGTCTTGCCAGTCATCACATCAAGGGCGTATGCCTCATAACTTCTTTCCTAACAACAGAGATGATCGACGGATCGATATCACTTCAACCTAGATTGAGTCGTGTTGGGGAATATCTCCATGCACATATCAATAGTCTATGCACGAAGTTGTACTTTTCACGAAACGACACCTTCCTACTGTTACCAACACATATGATTAAAACACGTTCATTGTTCATTTATGAATAAATCCAAATGTGTAGTTCTGCTCGGTGGAGGATGTACCCCCAACACCATTTTGCAGGCCGGCATCTCACAACTCCTCAACAGTACTATCGAAGCAAAGAACGCTCGCTGAGAGGTTGCTAACTTTCTGATCATCGGTATCCCACTCGCTAAATTTGCAGATACCAGGGTCCTCCACTGAATACAAGATTGGCTCATTGCATTCCTCGTCCCTATACCAATATCAGCGCCTTCAGCGTATATTACATCGATCAAGATTGGCAGGCCGGATACTCACTTATAGAAATTGCACACGATATCTTCAGGTACTTTCACCCCGACCACTTTTCCGGCCCTATATTAATTGGTACTATTAGTTCCAACTCTGTGTTGCCAACCGTCGTGTTTACGTACAATGCTTCTGGTACGAGAGTACATTTGTTGTTTGGCTGAATCAGGGCTGTTTCACCCGTGCAAGGCTCCTCCGAGTAAAGGGTAGCCTGGGGGAGAGCACACTTAGCAAATTCTTCAAGGAAGCAGGCTAGGGGTGTTGAACTGGTTGAACTTACATTCTCTGCTGCCAGAGCGGGAGCCACGCAGGAGAAAATGGCGAGCGCGATGAATTTTGAAGAGACCATCGTGAATCGTTCAGTTTTCATGGGTTGTATATTAAAGAAGGCGAGGGAAAACTCTGGGTGAACGAATAAATTTGAGCGGATTTGTCGCTCTTATAAGAACGGCGGAATGATAAACATTGCTGGGGAACGGCGGAGGAATCCATCTCCAGAGGAGCTCATGCAGTCCTGCTCCACTCGTACATTAGTGCATACATTCCCCGCATACCTATTGCATACTAGTATGTAAGGGCCTTCGCTACCCATACAAACAATAGTAACAATGGTGAAATGTGGATAAGATTGTTGTCCCCGAGCCCTCGCATCAGTGAACTATAGTTTCACTCAATGGCAGCAAATGCAAGCTAGACCATAAGGGAACGAAACAAATCTATCAGAGTACTAAAGTCAATTGGAAGCAATCCGCAGTGAGCACTTTTGTGTCTGGTATTAACTCTATTTATATGCTGATATAGAACTTGCTGTTCGATGGTTCCTAAATCTAAATCATGAACGTAAGGTTGGGGTTTATACGCAGGTCTGTTGGGAACCAACCCTTTACTCCTGCGTACGGGAAGAAACATTGTCCTGTACTCTAATAAGCTTTATAGCTCATTTATTCCTACATCTGCATGCCGGAAATGACCTCTTACGCTTCGTTTTCTTAAACCAACGGTATTAATGCACCGTTCCAGGGATGCGTCGAAATCTTTACACTATACTACATATCCCGCCAATATAGTAGACTAATAGTATTCTTCGTTCTTTATGCCTCCACCCCCTTGGGAGTTGAAACTTGACTCTCAGAAAATCAACCCGAAATCCATGTCAGATCACCGCTCCGCAACGATGATCCTTACAGTGTCTCCTCAGGATCTTCCAAGCCAAACTGGTTAGTGAAGTTAGTTGTTGTTTTCCTGTGTCGCAAAAGTGTTGCCGAGGAAAAGACCATGCTCACCGCCCAGCATTGATTATGTTGACCTTGAATAGCTGCACAACCTATGTATGATGGTGGACCCTTCAATTCCCTTAGCAAGGCTTCAGAGGGAAGCTGGAGGACCGAAACTTACGCCGAGTCGACCTTGCACTTGTTGACAGTCCTTGCGGGCTCGACAGTCATCGTGGGATTCACACTGAAGTCAATGTTTAGAAATCAAATCTGACACTTAAAGGCGTGTGTACCACTCACGCCGCCTTCATCACCTCCACACGGTTGCAGAGCTAGGCCCAGTGTGCCAAACGCGAGCGCGAGAATAAAAGACAACTTCATTTTTCCTAGACTTGACTTCTTCAGAATGGAATGGGATAATTTTTTTTAATACATGAACGAGCGGTCGTCGGGGCCAAGTATATATAGTACCTAGTCCTGGGCCAAAACGTATGAGATTAACTCGCCGATATTAGACTTCAATCCCACAGCGCCGCTATTGAAAAAGAATGTGGAGTAAAAGTGTATCCTCAGCTACAGTCTCGCCAACCACAAATAATATGCAGTGTTATGGAGCAGTTCGCTCTGCATCAGGTCGATCGATGCTGCCGAGATTCAATAGTGCCCATGCAAGATTCACCGACTGGCTCCACAATAAGTACACAGTATTGGCCTCGTTCGAGTCTCGAGCGAAGATCAGCACAAGTGGATCGACGGTTGTGACGATCAATGGACTCCCGAAAGCAATTCAGCTGCTCTGGCCAAGCCACAAAATTCAACCTGTGACGACGAAATGGAAGTTATCGTGGATAGGGCACAGGAAACCAGTATAATAATTAGATAGGAATAGATCCCGCGAGTGGATAGATTATACCAAATAATCAGTGAGCAGGAAAGTGTAAGATGGGCGGGCTACATCACACACTACATATAGACTTCTTTCCCAATGAGCCAGTTTAAAAACTCTATGACTTGAACCTCTTTGGAAGCCATCGCGATGCCTGCGTCCCAAGCAATCCGATCTTACTTTCATCACTGTGATTGAATAGCTCACTGTTTGAAATGCCCTTTAATGATGCAATAGGCAGCTGGCTGGATTCATTATATGGCTCATCATCTCTGTGGGGTTCTTGTGTTAACAGATCGATGGCCCATTGCTGCTTGGCCTGCTTGGCCCAACTGACTGGAGATTGTTGGTCTTTCCCCTCAGTGTGTGAATCGGTACCCGCCGAAAGCAAAAGAATGCTGTCAAGAGAAATGTACGATATAGCATGCGTGTGTACGAAGCTCACGGGCCGTACTGTAGGTCAAAGAGACCCTTTTGGAGCTTAAAGGGCGACAGTTCGAGAGCAGTTCGGCCAGAGGCATCTAGCAAATGCTATTTGGATACAGAGAAGATCCTTTCGCAATTGGTGGAATAGGTGCGATTCGTCCACGTTCTGCAGGAGGCCTGTGTCAATGACATGAATAAGACAGATATGAAGCTCAACGCCGTATCAACCGAAGAGAGTTCGAAGAAGGTCCAAGAGAAGCGCAAGAAATGTTATTCCGAAGTCTGAGCAGTATGAGAAGAAGTACAAGAAGCTATCAAAGAAATGAAATACGCTTTGCCCGTATTCATACTATCCAGAAGTTAGCTATCATGAGTGCAGGAGCCGTGAGTTCACTTATTAGGAGCCTCGGAAAGGCCGTTTCAAGTAGGCTCTCGCCCGTGTCCATCTCAAATGACAACAAATGGGCCTCGTCCGGTCGCGTGTGCCCTTCTTGGATTTACTCAGGGAAACTATAACAGACTCGCGTATATCTAGGAGGTCGCGCAAGTTGTACTTATCCGTAGCTATAAAATAGTTAAATATTAGGAAGTCCTCCTTGGTAAATTTCCCGGCAGTATAATTATAGTTCTTAATACTGTACTAGCGGAGAGTAGATATAGTATAAAAATCAGGGGATTTATAGATATAGTAAGTATCTGTACCAGTAAAATCGATCTTATCAAGTAGAAGATAGAAAATAGCTATATTTCTAAAGATATTCTCGGTTATTAGAAGCCGGTCTATAGTAATTTAGAGATTAGTTTTAATTTCTTTTGTTTCTATATAAGGAGTGTAACGGCGGTATACTATATAGATGCCCCTAGGGTATTCGAGATCGTTGATCCCGAATTATATGACCTTTTGGCCTTTTGGAATAGGGTGGCCTGGCTCTATCTCTTACGAGGGAAAAGAGAGAACTGTATAGATATATTTAAGATAGATAAATAGAATGTTAATTTAATATTTAGAGGGTGCTGTCTTTGTAGCTGTTATCTTGATTTGTATTTTATAGATAGAATGACTTGTTCTAGTCTATGTAGTGGCTGAGGTGTTTAAAGAATAACTACTCTGTAAATCGCTATCAATTAATTAAATATGGCTGCGGGGTTTGCCACAGATTCTTTATCGATAGCGAGTGGTCCGTGCGTAAGAAATATACTGTCTGTCCATATACACTAACGCCCTTATACTACTACGAGAGAGTGGAAAATGAGTAAAAACCATTCGGTTTTCGAAGAATGGAATATCACGCACGGTTTTGGAAAAAGCACGAAGAGGCATCACCGCACATGATGGACATAACCCTATCCCAGTTGGAACATCAATAATGGGATCAACATTGGAACTCAAGGCCACTCATATTGTCTCATCTCATCGGAGGAACATCTTTGTCAAGACTCGAATCTCTGTTTTATAATGTGGAGTTGTACTCCTCAATCTCACAAAAGGATTGAAACAGGATTAACGGTTCCTCACTTCTGCTCTGGATAAAGATCTCCTTCCCAGCGCCTGCGAAAAAGACGTGACCACACTCAATCGGTTCGGTATGGTCTCCTACGCCAATCTTCCCACTTCCCTGGGTGCATATCAGGACTGTAGGGCCATGAAACGCTCGGAAGTTCGCCGTTGCAAACTGGGGCGCTAGGGAAGTTTTGATGATATTAAACTCTTCGGCGAGTGATACATATAATACCGATGTGGATTGCCGAGAACTCATTTCCACCAGCAAATAGGGAGTGGGTGTTCTTACAACGAAGGGTGGCAGGTATTCATATGTGAGCATCGATATGAGCGTATCGACATCCTTGGTTTTCCGTGAGAACCCTGCCCGTACCACATTCGCCGATGAGGCCATGCATTCGATGCCGTCTGAAAGGGAAAAGAAAAGCCAGCCCGTTAGATATGGCAGATTAAAAGTTATAGATCTGTATTAGGAGAAGAAGAAGAAGAAGCAACATACCGCCACTTAGGTAAGCGTGAAGTTCATTAGATCTCACAAATAAAGCTTCCCCGGGGCTTAGGCAGACGTGGTTCATGAATAGGACAGCGAAAAGCCCAACATCATAGGGGTAATGCTGACTCAATTGGAGGATAAGATCAGTGAGATTGCCATGCTCGACCGCCAGAGATCCATTGCTTGGTCTGCTACTCGCGAAGCGGATCAAGTCTTCTGCACACGCTCGGATTCGTGATGGATGCGCGGTAAGTAGCTCTGACCAGGCCTTCTTAAGCGCTATTCCAGCGCTTTTTTGACCATACTCATATCCTGCGCTGTCGCAGGCGGACTGTACTTCCATAGCAGTGGCATCACTGATGAGATTTCGTAGCGGTGGTACACAAGAAAGAAAATGAGCAATCTCTTTCAGGGGCCGAAATCCACACAACGCTTCGAATGGAGTTAACGCGACAATCATTTCGGGCTTATGGTTCGAATCTATAATTAAAATTATATATATTTCTATCCCCTATATTCTTTACTAGGGTATAGGCAAAGCCACTCCCCCGCCTGGTCAGCTTACCAGGATATGTAAGCGGATCCCTTGCGTGTAAGTCCTGGGCAAGGTTTCGGTCCGGGTGAGCTTGTATACAAAGCGGCTCTCTGATGGAAAGAACTTTGAATAGAAACGGTAGTGTCGTACAGAATCTCTGGCTCACATGGGTTGAGAGCAGGTGTGGGTTATCCCTAAGGACATCTTGTAACGATTGGCCAGTGGAAAGGTCATAAGAAGGAAGAGAGGGATGTGCTCCCATCCAAAACTCAGCATAGGGTTTATTCTCATCCAAGGCATTGTCCTCTACGGCGGACGTGGTGACAGCAAATTGGGCCACTATGGATTGCTTTCCAAGCTTTCCTTTGCTTATCTTCAGTCTCCATTCTCAAATTCTCTCCCCTCCACATATAGAGAAGTTCTTACCCCAATCATTGTTAGAAACTCCTTAGACGCTCAGTTAGTACAATTTCAATCATCAGAGCATTATATTAAACCCACCACACTTCAATCGCCTTAAATGGCTCCCGCGTATTGCGTTGGTCTGGTGATGTTCATTGGTCTCCATACTAACCCAGAATCACAAACAAATGATTCTTGACGAGATAGCAGGTCGTAACAGAATGGTTCAAGGACTACAAGAGACTCCAAGGAAAGGGAACGAATATTTGCTGTAGATCATTTTACCCCTAAAGTTGTGCATTGCCCTCACAACTTCCTGCAAAACTTCCTCCTATGGACTAGCACCGTATCTGCAAGAAACCCCACTTTTGGTGCTCAACTGCAGTTTCCTGGCTGACTGACAAAAGCTACTTAAATAAGGGATCGCGTGTCCATGGTTATGTTCTACTGGTGCCACGTATGTACGATCGATCGGCATTCTTCAGCCCCACTACGTCCGCAGCTGAGGTTCAGCTACGAAGTACACTCGCCACGCTAGGGGTAAAATCGCGGAGATTGTTGGCGTATGAGTAGCAGGTACTAATGCAAACCTCAACCAAATAAAATTATGAGAGACATATTACTTGAGGAACGCCAGGTCGTAATCCATTACTGATGCATTACTGATGCATCGAGAAACCAACATTTTTCAAAAAGACCATTTGCTGATAATATGCTGTCGGAAGACTCAGCTGCTCGCCCTTACGCCGAAGGACCCCTTCTCGTCGTCGGGGATCTGATTCTGGACCAATTTATCCGTGGGAGCGTTAAGAGGATTTCTCCAGAAGCACCAGTACCAGTTGTGGAGCAACAGGAGGCGGCATTCTATCCCGGCGGTGCTGCCAATGTGGCCTGCAACCTTGCTGCACTTGGTGCGTCGGTAGTCTTGGTTGGAGCGATTGGAGACGATGAAGAAGGCAGACAACTGATATGCTCCTTGTCGCAATCCAAGATTGACACCAGTTTGATTCAGGTCATTCCTGGGAGGCCAACGAGCCTTAAGACTCGAATCATTGCAGAGCAGCAACAAATTGTCCGCGTTGACCGTGAGTCAACCGCACCGTTGGGGGAGCAAGACGTGTCACGCGTACTCGAGGCTATCCAAGGGTGCCTAGTAGGTTGCGCCGGTCTAGTGTTGTCGGACTACAATAAGGGTTTCCTTACTCCGTCACTCGTAACGGCGATTATTCGCCAGGCACAATCGCTGGAGAAGACGGTCATTGCGGATACGAAACATCAGGTGCCCGACCACTATTGCGGTGTCACCGCTTTGACGCCCAATATGAACGAGCTCCAGCTTTGCACTGGTCGATTATTGCGCTCTCCGTCCGATGTCGATGTGGCTGCAAGAGAGCTCATGACCAAGATTCAGGCATCCGTGCTTCTTGTCACGTGTGGACAGGACGGTATAAAGTTGTATGAATCGGGCTCTCAACAAAGCACACACTTTCCGGGCCATGCGAGAATAGTAGCTGATGTCAGTGGTGCGGGAGATACTGTGCTTGCAGTATTCACCTGGGCTCTCACCATCCGCAGATCCTCAGTCCATCAGGCCGCAAAGTTGGCCAACCACGCAGGCACCCTTGCCGTTAGTAAGAAGGGAATCAGCACAATTGACGTAAATGAACTGCTCTCCTTTGTGATGGACCATTCAACCAATTCGCTGGACCGAAGACTTAGCCCAAGCAAGAATCGGACCCTCGAGCAACTACTACTCGAAATTCACACTGTGCGCCAGTCCCAGCCGTCAGCGAAAATTGTTTTCACAAATGGTTGCTTTGATATGCTTCATGCCGAACACGTCAGTTACTTGCAGAAAGCCAAGGCTCTCGGGGATCTTTTGCTCGTGGGGCTCAACTCAGACTCTTCTGTACGGCAGATCAAGGGTAACCGTCGCCCTATCATCCCCGAGGCCCAACGAGTTCAGACTCTGGCTGGACTAGACTGTGTGGACTTTGTGGTTCTGTTCGACCAAGAAACTCCCCTTGATCTGATTCAGGCTATCAAGCCGGACTTCCTTGTCAAGGGAAGTGACTATGAATTGCATCAAGTGGTCGGACGCGACTTTGTAGAGGCCAATGGGGGGCGGGTGAAACTTCTCCCATCGAACCAGGGCATTTCCACCACGAAAATAATCCAGGAAATCATGGATCGTTACAGCGAGTAGCCCTTCACCATTGACATGCTCATTTCCAATTCTTGTTCACAGAGGCTCACCAGTATCGTAGGTCAACAATCGTAAGGCTAAATACTACTTGTCTATTGCACGACTACTTTAAAGGCAAAAAGGTGAAATAACCGGGAAGAATTTCTTGCTCTACCAAACCTTTTCCAGATGAGATCATGAGACAACGACGAGAGAGACATCAGGGACACATGCAAAACTAAGCCAGTCTATCGTACCAGGAACAGAGTGCAGAAGCGAGATAAGCCGGTGGCGCCCCTAGTGTGTGTTTAATATCATCCTAAGTGGTCTAGGATCCACACCTGAAGTTGCCACCGCAATTCCGTGAAGGCGAAGCTTCCAAGCGTGATGAGATATACCCCTATATGGAAGCATTTTCTATATGGAATACTCATTATCAGTCGTCTTCTGTCCAATCTCATTCCGCTTCCGCCATGCCCTAACTCCGCGATCCACCTCGTCCCTAGTTATTCCACCCCTAATCAAGCAGAATGTGACCCCGAGCTCAGTCTCCACGTCGTGGTTACGCGCCTCGTCGTCAAAGAACAATATGTCCTCATAGGCAATGCCGCTGGCATGATGGATGCGCGTAAAATGTTGCTTTTTAGTCCCAGGGACAATTTGGATGTAGTCAAAGTAGTTCCGCGCGCACACAGAGGGCGTATTCAGAGTGGTGTTATCCGAGAACGCGGGATTGATGTGCAGGGCTTCGAGTATGGCAAGGGCCAAATCGGGAGCATGGCTCCGCGAAGCGAGTGCCAAGGGGATTGAGCGATCCTTGCAGGAGGAGAGGATTGAGGATACAGCGGGATAGAAGGCGAAGGACTTACCCCGTCTATTTGGTTGAGAGAGTTTAGGCAAACGAAACTAGTAATGGAACTCCACGATTCTATCCTGACATACCGGTCCACGATGCATGAATTGTTGTCGCGAGCCTCGACCGGCTCGCTAACATCTGCGTCGACCTTGAATGGCCATAATGTCTGGTCCAGGTCAAAAGCGATGAGGCGTGGCAGAGGTAGGCCGTCTGTGAAGGTCATCGGCTCAGCGTGGGTCATGGTTGATTATTTCTTGACTCTTAGTAAATAGCAGATTGGTGGGAAGAAAGTGCAGTGTGGGTAGAAGTCATCCAGAGTTTCTCAGGCTATTGTCCGCTAGGAAGTAAGCGTAAAATATAGATCGTTAGATCTCAGATCTTCGATCCGTTGCGCACGCTACAGGGGCTCTAACCCTAAAACCCTGGGCTTGTAGCGTGGGGGATCATCGATACGTTTACGTGGCACTGTGGAAGGGAATTGTGCACTTATTGATATATGCGTATAATGTTATTTTCTTTATTATTTAAATAAGAGAAAGTATAGAATTTAGTAAATCTAGAAATAAACTTGCAGTCGTTGATAGAGTCCGTCCGAGATATGACTTCTATTATAGTCTTTATTATAAGATAAAAGTAGTCTTCATCAGGGCCCAAGCCCAACCCCTAGGCCCACGATGGGCCCCAATGGGCCTCCCCAAAGCCCTTTTTTGCATAAATATTGGTCTTGGGCATTCATAAAATTGCTTACTAAGTAGGATAAATCAAGCTTTTTTACATAAAGCCCTATGTTTGCACTGTTTGGGGCCCAATTGGGGGCTCCTATACTAAGCCCAAGGCCCATCGTGGGCTTGGGCCGGGGTTGGGCCTGGGCCGGGATGGGCCGTGAAGAAGCCTAATTAAGTATATATTAGAAACTCTGCGTGACTTGGCTCGTCGAAATGAGCAAGAATATACATTGGAAAATGGACGTCTTCTATTTAAGAACTTGATCTGAAGAAAATGATTTGAGGGTCCGTTTAGCCTTGTTTGTGTAGTGATGGGAAATATAATGATGCAGGCGAGCTGATGGAGACTCAAAAAGCAGGTGTTGGGGCCAGAGCATCCCTCCACTCTGACCAGCATATGCAACCTGGCATCAACATACCGAAATTATGGAAGATGGACTGAAGTAGAAAATCTAGAGAATCTTTCCCAGGTTCGATGAAGAGGAGTCTTTTCGCACTTCGTTGTTCAGTGGTTTCGACAATGATCCGCGTTACAGGCCGCCAGGTTCTCTCTTGATTGTGTCCGTCGTGTGTCCGTGTACCTTGTAGCATGGCTTCTCTCTGATCTAGAATGTCGTTGACCGCGGTCGTGGGATGGGCGGAAATCATCTCTTCCAGGTCAGCGGCTCCTGGGCCAGGCATCTCCGGCAGTTGTTGATGGTGTGTACCAGCAGCGCCTTGCTGAGTAGACTGTGCTTCACCGAAGCCGAACCGGGTCAACAGTCGACCAGTTCGTGCTAGATTTGCCAGTAGATGCAAGCCCTGGGGCCAAGCGGAAGTCTCTGCTGGCAATAGTTTCTCATCCACACCAACAGAACTGTCCGTTTCACAGTCTGTGTCAGCAGTTTGAAAGCCATCCACGGTGATGTCATGTGGAAGCATTCTCTGTTTTGGTTCTCCCAGGTGCTGCTGATCATAGGCCGTACGTGGAACGTCCTTATCCGTGTGGATCCTTCCTCGTTCATTGGCCTCTTTCTGTAAACGATCAAGTTCAGTCTCGAGCTGCTTCTGAAGTGATGCTACATCGGGATCTGGGGCCTGAGCTTGATATCTCTCTACTATTGGGTGCTCCGTCTAAATGAGTGGGGGCCAAATCTAGCTTAAAAAGCTTCCGAGACACGGCGATATAGTTCGCAATTTAAAAAGCATTCCCAATGCTCCGTTTAGAAGCGTTAGGCAACTCCATGAGAAAAATCTTTACTTAAGCTGCAACGCCTTAGAGGGAACACGCACAGCTTTGCAATAAATTACTCAGTCGCCGTGGTTGTCAGTTCGTTATCATGTCCTCGCCCTTATACGACGCACTAGTTGTTGGTGCCGGGTTTGGAGGGATCTACCAACTACACTCCCTCCTCAAGCTCGGGCTGACAGTCAAGCTGGTGGAAAGGGCCGCAGGGCTTGGAGGAACATGGTATTGGAACCGCTATCCGGGCGCGACAAGCGATACCCCCTCTCATCTGTATCGCTATTCCTGGGATAAGGAAGACCTCCAATCATATCCCTGGTCTTCTAATTACCTGGAAAGAAAGGAGGTTCTTGCCTATTTGGAACATGTTGTGGACCGCCACGACTTGCGCAGGCACATGCAGTTCCATACGGAGGTTGTATCCGCGATTTGGAACGAAGACGACTGCACGTGGACCGTGGAATCTAGCCAAGGTTCTTTCACGGCTCGCTATCTCATCACGTCTCTCGGCATTCTCACGGAGCCGAATTGGCCGAACATCCCTGGGAGGGATCAGTTTCAAGGCAGTCTATACCATACTGCTCGGTGGCCAGATCAGTATGACTTGAAAGGGAAGAGGGTTGGAGTGATTGGGAATGGATCATCCGGTGTGCAAGTGATCGTCACAATTGCCCAGGATGTCGAGTCCTTAGTCTGTTTCCAACGACATCCCCAATACATCGTTCCCGCCGGTAAGCGAGCTGTCTCGCAGGAGGAGCGCGATGTGATTAACAAGGCCTACGACGAGATATGGCAAAAGGTTAGACAAGAGATTGGAGGAATGGGTGTCGACGAGGCCAAGACGAGTGCGATGAGTGTCGGGGACGAGGAGCGCGAGCGGATCTACCAGGCCGCCTGGGACGATGGAGGAGCCATCCGATTCTTCCTGGGGACATTCAATGATCTGATTCTAAATGAAGCATCCAACCAAACAGCATGTGATTTCCTGAAGAAAAAGATCCACCAGATTGTGCAGGATCCAGAGAAGCGCCGCAAGTTGACACCGAGCGAACTCTACGCCCGCAGGCCGGTGTGCGCCGATGGCTACTATGAGCATTTTGATCGGGAGAACGTCGATGTTGTCGACATCGCGGAGAATCCCATGCTCGAGTTCACCCACGACGGGATCAAGCTGGCCGATGGAACCGTACATAGGCTGGATGTGATTATTTGCGCCACGGGTTTCAACGCATTTGATGGGGCTTACAGAAAAATTAACATTGTCGGACGCGAAGGGAAAACATTGAACGAACACTGGAAAGACGGGCCAACCACGAATATGGCGGTTGCCACAGCAGGATTCCCAAATCTTTTTATGATAGTTGGGCCTCAGGTTCCCCTGACCAATGTACCCCCGGCCATTGAAGCCCACGTTGAGTTCATTACCGGGGCCATATCGCGTGCGGAAGAGCATCGCAAGGAGCAGAGTACTTTGCCAGCTCCGGCTAGGATCGTAATTGAATCGACAGAGGAAGGGGAAGCCGCATGGGGTGGATTGTGCAATGCTATTAGCGAGGCGGCACTGTTTAGAAAAGCCGCATCGTACTTCAATGGCGTGAATGTGGATGGTAAGCCACGGTTTGTGTATATCTTTATGGGCGGGTTGGGCATGTTTCTGCAGAAGGTGAAGGAGTGCGAGGAGAGAGGATACCCTTCTTTTCATCCGTTTTAGATCTGCGAGCCTAGTGAGTTATTCGACTGCCTCTTCTTCTTATCTGCGAACCGGGCCACCTAAGGGATCGGCGAGCCTGTCATGATACGGCCGAGATAGCCTTTCTAAATCAGATATGATTTGTTTTCTTCTATCGGTTCTCGTTCCAGGACGGGGAGTCTCAGTGCATGCTAGGTATAACCCCAATCCCGCTTGGCATGAACTACTGCCCATGTTACGACACCTATATCTCAACTCAATTAAGAGACCAAGAGTCGAGACGACACAGATTTTCTGCGCTTGCCAGTATGTAAAATTATACAATGGCAATACATCCCGACTCCTTATGGGGCGTACCTTTCTAAACCTAAGTGATTGGATAAATTGAAAATTAAGTGACCCGTTTCAGCGCCAAGCTCGGTTAACCTGCCAACTAAGTGGAGCGATCGATCTAATCAATCAATCGCTTTTTCTCTCCACCGGCCTCTTATCAATCTATAATTGACCCTAAAACCTTCGAGTCTAGTGTATGTAGTGGAAATGTGGAATTAGGCAACCACTTCGTATTTTTTTCTCTTGAAACCATCACATGTCCTGCACAGGAGAATGTGCTGGATTAACTACTAGTAGGCTTTTCGGCTGTATGCCATATAGCGTCGAGTATTATTACTCGGCCGCAGTTTCCTCCATCGCACTCAGAGAAATGCTTCAGACATAATTTGAGACAATATCTCGATATGCTGATGGCGAATGCCTTCAATTCATTTATTGGTCCGTGGGTGGACCAAGTTCGAAGCACATTAGTAGAATGTGTGCATTCAATAACCAGGTCCCTACCAGCCGACTGCACCAACTTGTTTCTCAATGTTTCACCTCGATCTTATCTCGGCCCGCATTTGGTTATCTGTTCCGGATTCAATTCAAGGCAACCGCTTTCTTGTCGGCAGGACTACCGGGATTGTCTAAGAGGCCGGTCCCTAGATTGATCATAACGCTCCTAGACTAAGAGACTTCATCTTCATTGATCGGGTATTCCTCGGATGGAGAGAAGAGCAATTCAACCAGTAGAACTATGTGGAGGCGGAACGATGGCTTGAGTCAACCGATGTTCAAGGGTAAAAGTAACTTTGGGGTGGGTTTCTGGGCCCTGCTCATACACAATCTTTTCACCAGGCCCATCTGAAAAGCTTGTACGGAAAGCTTGTTTGGAACTTGGTTTGTAGATTCGGTTGTAATTTTATCTTTGGTAGATCCTATAACCTCAAATAATTAGTCAATCCAGAGGTACAGTCCCACCGGTCTACGCCAAAAGTAGTATCGACCGGAAGACGAATTCCATTACTGAGTGTTTTTTCAAAAAGTAATAACACGGAAAGAAAATTCCACAGACCAAAGTGGGGAGACCTCAGAACGAAGGCCATCGAGCGGCTATATGTCGGAGTTATAAGTGTCTCATGTCCCAGTTTTGATCCCGCACATCAATCATGATATTTGTGATTGTTGAGTATCTGTGATCGTCTCTGTCAAAATGACCACCGTTAAGAATGCTCCCTTTACCGGGGTCAATGAGGACCCGATGCCGCTGGACTCGGACATCCCTGCAGCGGGCACCGAGAACCAGGACCAACAGGACGGTGTTCGAGTCGCTGAGGCAGTGACTGCCTCCTGGTCCAAGAAATCCCTCATCATAACATATGCCTCGTGAGTAATCTTCGTGGCCTCCGTACTCTCTTATCCCCTGCTAAGTAACTCGCAGTATGTGGATGCTATACTTTGTCAATCGCCTAAACAACAACCTAACCTCCAACCTTTCGGCGTATATCACAAGTGATTTCTCGAAACACTCGCTGCTGACAGTCATCAGCGTTGTGACCAGTGTGATGGGTGCTGCATGTGTGATGCCAATTGCAAAGGTTCTAAATCTGTGGGACCGTACTCTTGGAATCTCCATCATGGTTTTGATTGCCATCATGGGTCTTATTATGGTGGCCGGCTGTCACAATATCACAACGTATTGTGCCGCGCAGGTACGTCTTCTCAGCCCGGGCTTTCCTCACTGAGTTTCTTCATGGCGAGAAGCTCATTTTGCCAAGGCATTCTATACAGTCGGCTTTACCGGTACGATTTTCAGCGCTGATGTGATTACATCGGATACTTCCTCACTTCGCAACCGTGGTATTGCATATGGCTTCACCTCGTCGCCCTATATCATTACTGCTTTTGCCTTGTCCAACAAATTTCACGAGACTAACTGGAGATGGGCATACGGGACCATCTGCATCATTCTTCCGATTGCTGCTTCTCCTTTGATCATCACATAGGAGTTAGCCAAGCGAAAGGCAGATAAGGACGGTCAATTGCAGTATAAGCCTCGTAGCACTCGGACATGGTGGCAGAGTGTATGGTTCTATATCATCGAGTTTGACAGTAAGACGCTTTTTTATCTTTCTTTCTCGTCTGCATTGGATAACCCAGACTAACATACTTCACCTGCCTTCACAGTCATCGGTATCTTCTTGATGATCGGCGGATTGATCCTCTTCCTCCCCTCTGTCAACATTGCCGGAAACACCAAAGGAGAGTGGAAATCCGCTAAGATAATTGCCATGATGGTAGTCGGGTTTTGTGTCCTTGCTGTATTCGTTGCCTATGAGCGCTGGGGCGCACCGAAACCATTTATTCGTTTCTCGCTACTCTCGAATCGGACTGTTATCGGTGCTTGTCTGTTGGATATCACATATCAAGTTTCCTACTACTGCTGGGCCAGCTACTTTACCTCTTTCCTACAGGTGGTCTTCAACACAAGCCTCACCCAGGCGGGTTACATCAGCGCGATTTTCGACTTGATGGACCCCATCTGGCTTATTGGCTGTGGCTACCTCATCCGAGTCACTGGCCGGTTCAAGTGGCTGCTCATGTTTGCCGTTCCACTCTACCTGCTAGCCAGTGGCTTGATGATCTATTTCCGCGCCCCCGGTCACAGTGTCGGGTACATGTGCACGTGCCAGATCATCCTGGCTGTCGGTGGCGGCACTATGATCTTGATCGAACAGGCTGCTGTCCTGGCAGCTGCCAAGAATGAAGACTATGCCTCTATGCCGGCGCTGCTCAGTGTATTTGGCAATGTGGGCGGTGCTGTGGGCAGTAGTGTATCTGGTGCCATTTGGACCAACACACTTCCGAAGAAGTTGCGCGAGTTGTTACCGACGGAAACAAAGGACCAGTGGGCGGATATTTACGAGTCCCTGGATGCTCAGCTTAGTTATCCCGTGGGCTCGCCTACTCGCACCGCCATTCAAAACGCGTATGCGTTCAGCCAACGGAACATGATGATTGCCGGAACCGCTGTGGTGGGCCTGTCCATTGATTGGGTTTTGATGATGAGAAACATCAAGGTGAAGGACAACAAGAATGTAACACAGGTTCTATTCTAGGCTTTACAGCCTGTACTTGATCTCCGCAGCCATATTTTGCGGGTTCATGGTCGCACGTCCACATTCGCCGGTCTATGAGAGAGAATAGTTTGAACCGACCATGGAAGAGTGAGCAGTGGACCTACTCGGTGGGGTGGAACTTCATGTCTAGAACCAGGGTCGTCGTGCTTCCATCTCTGCACTTCCTGTCCTAGTCATCCTATGCGCTGATAATCATTGTCAGCTATAACTCAACGAGGGTCGAGGCCCGAAGAAGGGGGGAAGCACGACGAGGAGTGAGCGAAACTCCGGAATGCCCCAGCCATGTATGTAAGAATAATCAGTAGATGGAAGGTTGAAACCTTAATGGTGCGATCAGCGACCCTAAACCAGGCTAGCCAAATCGAGTTAGGTTTGCGAGACCCGGCCCATCAATCTATCCGGGGAAGACAAACAGACGGAGTATTTATCTCAGCGCGCTTGCTTTAGCTCAATTCACGGATTACAGTGCCAGTGGGCCATTCCCGGTATTACATGATAATATGATGGACTCGATTGCCTATGACCGAGGCATTGTGCCTCTAGAAGCCAAATACTTGGTTGGTACTTGCATCTATAAAGTGTGAAAGCTTAGCTCAATGACCGTCTAAATCCACCGAATTTTGTATAATTTATTTCGCAAAATGTCAAACTCAAGCTCGAATCCAACCCATGCACTCCCTTCTTACAGCCAAGTTGCTTGCATTGGGGCAGGGGCAAGTGCGATCGCGTTAGGTGCAACACTGAAAAGATGGTACGGTGTGGAAGATATTCGCTTCTTTGAGCGGCAGACAGACTGTGGTGGAACATGGCATATCAACACGTATCCAGGTAAGTAAGAGTGACTATAGTACACTTAACATGAAACTCATAAATCCTTCAGGCTGCGCGTGTGACGTTCCCAGTGCTCTGTACAGCTTTTCATTTGCTCCCAACGCTGAGTGGTCCAAGTTGATGCCTTCGCAACAAGAAATCAAAGCGTACCAGGATGGTGTCGTCGCAACATACGGTTTGAGACAGAGAATGACATTCCGTACGGAGGTGAAACAGTGCGTATGGCGGGATGATGCGTCTCGATGGGTTCTTTTCCTCCGCAATGTCGAGACTGGAGAAGAATCAACACATGAGTGCCAGGTACTGTTTTCCGCCACAGGCCACTTTGCTGAACCTCGGCCTTGCGAAATCCCCGGGGCTTCATCTTTTCAGGGTGATATTATTCATTCAGCTCGGTGGGATCACAGCGTCAGTTTAGAGGGCAAAAGAGTTGTAGTCGTCGGGAACGGATGTGAGAGCAATGTGTCTATTTCTGTAATGACTGTCAGCTAACATTCTGTACTCTCTAGGTACTGCGGCGCAGATTGTACCTGCTATTGTCAAGCGGACCAAATCTTTGACGCAGATCATCCGGTCCCAACACTGGATCTTCCCAGCAACCAACTTCACCTACCCGAAAATTCTGAAATGGATTTTTCAGTACATTCCTCTTACATTGAAACTTCACCGACTGCATATTTTCCTCCTTGCGGAGAGTAGCTTCCGAATGTTTCCAATGACAGATAAAGCCGCACGACTAAGACAGAAGCGCAGGAGAGAGGTGGAGAAGTACATGAAAGATACAGCGCCGGCAAAATATCATGACATTCTGATTCCAGATTTTGAGATAGGGTGCAAGGTACGTTTAAATTCCATAAGGTATCGGTACCAAAACGCATGGATACTCATGTCACCAGCGACGGATTTTCGATGACGGATATCTCAAATCACTCCACAGTGAAAACCTTTCTCTCACAACAGCCAAAATTCTTGAGATTGTTCCTGAAGGTGTGAAAACTTCCGATGGAATTGTTGCTGCCGACGTCATTGTATTAGCAACCGGGTTCAAAACGAATCAATTTACGCCCTTCATGGACATCGTGGGCCGTAATGGGAGTCTGACTGACCACTGGAAGAGATACGACGGACCTGAAGCTTACAACTGCTCTGCTATGAGTGGTTTCCCAAATTTCTTCCTGTTATTTGGGCCGAACGCAGGAACTGGTCATACCTCAGCACTGATGGCTGCAGAAAAGTGAGTTAAGAAGAAATAGCTCAGCAGTATTATTCCCATGCTAACAGCCAAAAGTTCTGTCAATTACGCGCTTCGTGTGCTGAAACCAGTCTTTGAACAAGAGGCAGACTCAGTTGAGCTCACGCAGGTAGCGGAGGACGAATATTCCGACAGAGTTCAAGATGCATTAAGAAAGCGGGTGTGGAATGCTGGCTGCCAATCGGTAAGTTGTCTTCCAGTTTGCAAAGCTTGTGGGTATATGACGTGCTAAATCAGATATACAGTGGTATCAGAATGATAAAAACTGGAACGCCATGGCCTATCCGTGGTCCCAGGCCTATTTCTGGTATCGGAGCCTATTCCCCATTAACTCACATTGGAATGTCCGGGTATGATAATGTGACTTTACTAAAACCTATGGATGAAAAAGGGCTAATTCAACTCCCAGACACGGAGCCCGAGAAAGTTTCGGATTGGCATATACTGGACGATATTACCCATCATTCTTAGTTTGGGTTTCCTCGCATCCCGCACGGAGAATTTGACTGTTGGCCCTGTGATGCTAGATTTTGGCAGGAATATGCTCTCTTCCATACGACATGTGACAGCTTCTGTTCTTTCGAAGATTCCGATCCTGGGAGCTAAGAGCTGACTTTCGAGGCCAAATTCGGCATGGCTAGGACCGACGTAAGGAATTGTCTAGACTAGAGAGGAATATCAAGAGACTCATTTTATTAATTCTAGGCCCTATCCCTTACCTGATATTTTATGCCGTTTGTAACATTGTTTTTCAAATGGCATTAGGGTCTAATTCATGTATCAAGCTGGAATACTAGGGCATCAGATAATAGCGAGCCTTAAGCTGCAATAGAATGTTGTGTATACCTGGATCAGGGACATTATGAATGAAACAACTAAGATTGATATGCCAAATAAGAGAGTGTCTACCAGGACACGTGTTGCTCCTCCTGCAGCAGAACCACGGCCTTGGTACCTCCTCTAAACGCTCCTATTTCAAATAGCTTTGGCCACAACGGAGGTGCTATATTGTTCAACGTAGGCTTTGTTTCAACAGATCGAATATTTACCAGCTCAAATCAACCATGGGGACTCGGAGTTCACGACAGCAGGACGGCCACTATCCACCAGGTTACAGGCATCTCCTGCAAGGCAGTTTTGATACACTCGCGAGTGTTGAGCCCACCGTTGAGTATAGGGACCGTCTCGAGCTATTGGACCAGCAAGATACGTGAGATAACAAGCACTGTCTTTCCACTTTAGATATGCTACAATACTAATCAGCCTCGGTTGAGCTGGTTCACATTCCCGAGGCTTGATTTCGCATATGGACGGACAGATTCCCGGAGAGCAAGATAGTAATCCCTCTAACCATTTCTATATCAAACGGCCTTCGGTGCAATCGCATCTCCGCCCCACCTGGTGGGTCAGCCCAACTTTTCGTACTTGAATATAGTAGCAGACGTTTTGTCATACAGTATAGTTGCTGGAACATACTATTGAGCAATGGAGCATGCATTCATGATACTTCAGCTGTGCACTTCCCGAGGGACATTTATAGAGTACATCCGAACACCAGCCAGTCATTGAACTTTTTTAGATTTATCTCTACACTGAAACAACTAAGTGTCTGATCAAGATGGGTCCATGGTTCTATTTCAAAGTATATATTCTACGCCTCTTAACTCGCCTATTCGCTTGGCTTGACCGAAGAGGCGGCCCCTCGCGACCACCCAGCCCAAGTTTGAAAGTAAACATCCCGTCAAGACTCTCCGCTTCCAAAGGATCATTCGATGTGTTTTTCTATTTCCCACCCGGCTATGACCGCAACTATTCCAAGGAAAACGGATACCCAGTTGTTGTTAACTTTCACGGGGGAGGTTATTGCGTCGGGCATGCTCGCGACGATGAACGCTTCATCGCCGAGTTGACATCTCGCGGTGCTGTCGTTGCAAGTGTCAATTACCGTCTAGCACCTGAGAGTCCATATCCAGTCGCGATCGAAGATTGTTTAGACGCATTGCTTTATATCTGGCGCAACGCGGCCTCTTTCCAGATTGACAAGCATCGAACGGTTCTCTCCGGCTCAAGTGCCGGTGGCCATCTTGCCTTCGCTTCACTTCTCATGCTATGGAAGAGGATGAAGGATAAAACCTCCGGGTTGATAGTTCACACATGGGAACCGTCAAAGGATTAATGGCGTTTTATCCAGTCATGGATATGACTAAGAGCCGCGCTGAGCGTGCTCAATCCAATCCAGCATTTTCAGCATTGAAAAGAAAGCCACCGTCATCATCGAAACTTATCGGATCTGTTTTCGACGAGGCTTTCTTTTGGAAACTAGAACAAAAGCCAGATAAAGGCTTTATGTACCTCTCTCCCGGACTTGCGCCTGAGGATTCGCTGAGAGAGGCATTGCCCCCTATTATATCGTTCAAACTTGCGGGCCTCGACTACCTCTTGAATGAGGAGAAAGAAGCATTTCGTCGACTGAAACGGCTGGGGAAGAATGTTGACTGTGAAGTTGTAGAAGGGGTTCCCCATTATTGGGACCATATGGCAAGAACAGAGGAGATGAGGGAGCTGCGGGACAGATTCTTGGGAACAGCAGCGGAGGAGATAAAGCAAATATGGCAGAGCTGAGAGAAAGAAAAAAGCACAATTTGCAGCTAGTTTTTGACTGCGGCGGAGAAATTGTGGCGGAGCGGGGTACTAATTTTATCTATTTCATTACAATATTGTTCTTTCCACAACAGCGTCTGTTCTCATGGTATCATTATATGTACTCCTTATTATGACTCATTGACTATTCTAGATTAAACGTATTTCCTTGATGATGTGTTGCTCTTTTTTGGGAATCAATTATTAAAGAAATATTTCCATCATACATCCTACACCCATTCATCGAAATGAGCAGCATTCCTTCTGAGCCCAAAACTCCCGCCGAGTGGCTCAAGTATGCACAGAGTGAGGTCGTCACATCCATTCCATTGAGACAAGAACGAAACACTGTCCAGGCAAGTAAAATATGTTCTTACTTAAGTCAGGAAATTAACGATCCATAGAACAGTATCATCGAGCGGGATATCTATCTAGATGAATCGAGGATTGTGAAACCACCATCCCAGCTCTGGTATGCCTATACAGATGTGTTCGCATTTACACAGCCAGAAGTTACCATCTCTCCAGAAGCCTACGGATCAATGCAAATTATTGCAAGGGTTCTCACGGCGGACAAACCCACCCATCTGAAGATCATTCCTGATACGATTTGCTGGATACATATCTACGCTTCCATCCTTGACCAGCCATTGTCAGTGTCTGTAGGCGATCAGGAGCCCCTACTCCTAGAGCTAGGTCAAGCAACGGGAAACGTGGGGGTGAAACTGATTGTCTTCCCCGATCACATCGATATTGAGTATCAAGACGTTTACATGCGAGCGGTAGATGAGGATTTACAATCCAGTCTCGAGACTCAGTTGCGCATTGCCCTAGTTCTGTTTTGGAGGAACCCCTCCATTGCCACTTCCATCTGCTCGTATGTTGCTTCAGTGACCTCTGATTTAGCGTTAAATTTCTATGCCCAGATCAATACTCAGGCAGTGGCACTGGGGCAACAGCTGGTAGCCCAGGCGATGATGGGGCAGGATATCTCTCCTGCACTGAAGATTGACCAGTATATGTCCACCGTACGCGATGCGCTTGACGCGGTTACAACATTCGAGGAACAATACCAGCGCTTTCACGATAATAAATGCAATGTGGATAGTTTGAAACTGGCATGGGAGGCGTTGCTTCAGCATGCGCAAACTCAGTTGAACAAAGATATAACTCTAAGAAAAGTGGCCTGGGATAAATATCAGGATGCTTGCACGGTGGTGGCTCGTTGCCAAGAGCAGTTCAACGCTGATAACAGGCAACTTGGCGATGCTGAAGCCATATTTCAAAGTGGCCTTACGACATGGTATATGAAAACAGGGCTCATAACGGTGTTTGAAACCTTGAGTGCAATTATCAGTAAGTCTTTCTCTCACACATCTTTTATATTGACCTTGAATTGTGCGTATGGACTAAAAGGATACAGAGTTTAGCAGTGCTCTTCCTATTCCCTCCTTAGGATCTGAATCTTGTATCGGCGACGCTGCAAAAAATATCAATAGCGCAATTGACGATATGATACAACTAGAAAGGCGACCCGATCAAACAGGCAAAATAATCCCATCACCAACATTGAAGACACTTGGTGATTGCATACAAGTCCTTGAACGCATGTACCCCAGCACGATACACCTTGCTGCAGCCATCAAGGAGCTTGAATCGAACCCTAATGCTAAAATTTCATCTTATGGTGAGGTGACAGAGACTAGGGATGAAGATACCCATGCCCGAACTATCATAACACTTTCTGCGTGGGATAAATGGACCCTTGATTCCGATCAACAGCTAGAATATGCAGTCAATCAAAATATCCTAGGAGCTCCCGCATATCGACTGGCTCTCCGGAAACAAGCTGTTAATGGCAAGGCATTGGTCCAAGCTCAGCTAGAGGCTGTGAGGGCTGGCCATGAGTATGTTTATGCTGCGATGGAGGTCATTACCTGTAACCAAGACATTACTTCTTTAGAGAACCTGCTGGGCCAATATAACAACGACAAGGAGCAGTATTACCAGGCTGAAGCCAAATTCTTCAGTCGCGTCCTGGCCGCTCGAACCAGCCTTGTGATGCAAATGCGGAAACTGGTTTGGGCGTACAAATACCGGTCTCTGGCGGATAGTTCAGCTGTACTTGACTCGCAGAAGTCTATCGCCGAATTCAAAGCTGATCTTCTCACTCTCGACTGCGAAGTTCGATCAGTAGACGAAAAATACGCCACATATTTCCAACGTACGTTTTTTATTTACTATCTGTTCGCATGCAGAAACTAACTACATCAAGCATTCGAGTATCGCACCTCTTCGAGCGAGGTTAGATAAGCCTATCCCCATGCTACCACTATCTATCTAACTGACCGATCGTGCGGAACAGCTGCCTGCCAACTATGGCGACTTAATGATCCAGGGGCTCCAGGGCGAAAGCCACAGTGCCGGCTTCACCCTTGCACCAGCTATCGACCCAGCTGACAAGAACCATTTTGCCAGCGTATTCAACGATGGCTCACATTTCCGCCTAGAAGGTCTGGAAATATTCTTGCAAGGCGTCGTTCCCCGAGCAGAGGCTATTCACAATGGAGTCGCACATGTTGACATTGACATTCTGACATCAGGCGTTTATGCCGATATCCAGGGAGGCAAGATGTACCATTTTACGGGCCCAGCAATACAAGTGCGATTTTCTTATGAGATCACGGAATCGGGTGAGATAGGTCATACGGTTGTTTGTGCTAGATTCCCAGCAGAAGAACATGCTGAACCAACACCGTTTACTCAATGGACGGTTAAATTGCAGAACCCCGACGACTTGGATTTAACGAAACTATCTGGGGTTGAGCTACACTGGAGGGGAAAGGCGACGTTTGTTGAGATAAAAGTATCTAGTTAGCATGTAATGTAATAGATCAAATTGTCTATTTCAAGTCTATGACAGAATGAAATCCAAGTCACGAAAGAAAAGATCTCCAACCCAGTTGGTCTATGATCTTCTCCCATCGTCAACTACCTCCTCATCACTGCTTCTCTCCCCCTTAACCCTCTTCCTCCCCTCCTCCTTCAACTTCTCATCGTCCGCCCGATTCAAACTCACCTGGGGCATCAGCCAAAAGGCCAAAACGAACGCAAAAGCTGCTAATGCGGCACCGATCAGAAATATAATCCGGAACCCCTTTCGGTAAGCCGGGATCAACAGGGAGCGGGCACGTTCTGCTTCTTCACGGGGTAGTTTGGAGAGATAGTTTTGCGGGCTCGATAGGAAAGAGCGGGTTTCAGATTGCGTGAGGCCCAGGGAGGAGATCGAGCTTGTGATTAGGTTGTTTCTGTTCGTAAAATAAGGGTTAGTCGGTGTTCATGTATCTAAGTTGGGTTGTCGGTACGTACATGATGGTTCCGGCGATGGCGAGGCCGAGCGTGCCACCAAGGTTCCTTACGAAGCTGTTTTCGTTAGCATGTTTTGATCTTCCAGTAATCTCGCTAATTGATATGTGGGATTGTGGTGAGCGTACTTTCGAAATGAGGTCACGACTGCCATATCTTTCCGTTCAACCCCTGCTTGGACGGCGATCAGGGCGCTGGGGCAGGTCAGTATCAGGTGCACATTGCTCATATCCAGAACTTACGGTTGCAATGTATTGCCCACCCCAACACCAGTCAAGAGTCCGTACCCAATTTGTTTTCCCAAGCCGGATGATTGATCCAGAGTCGAGAACAAGCCCAGTCCAACGGCCCAGATCATCCAACCGAAAAGAATACACTCCCTGTAACGGCCGACCCAGTGGACAACAAGGCCTGAAACGGTACTGCTAACAGCTGGTGCCTTCATCAGTGAAGCTTTCCAGATAAGGGATGTGAAAGAGACATACTCTGCATCAATGTTACAGGCAAAAGCATCGCGCCAGCTTTCACAGTAGAATACCCGAAAACCAGCTGATAAAATGTTGGGATATAGTAAACCTGGACGAGGAAGTTCCACCCGTTTATGAACATGGTCAGACACGCACCATTCACAATCCGAGATTTGAATATATGCATCGGTACGAGTGGGTACGTTGCTCCTTTCCATTGCCAGAGCACGAACCCAACGGCCACGGCAAAACCTACCACAATCGTGGCAATGACATGGGCCGAAGCCCAAGGGTATTCACCACCACCCCACGTCAAACCCAAAAGGAGGACAGCTGTACTGCCTAATGCGAGAAATGCACCGACGAAATCAATTGCCTTGAGCTTCATCTTCCAGTCCCCTGTTACCTTCCGTAGAGGCATGAAGAACAGCACGCAGAGGGTTGTGATTGCCGTGAGGGGGAGATTCAGTCGGAAGATCCATCTCCATGAATCCTTGTTGATGGAGGATAATGCACCACCGATCACAGGACCTATTCCATTGGCGATCGCTACTACTGCACCCAGGATCCCCTGGTATTTGCCCCTTTCGCGGAGCGGAACCACGTCGCTAACGATCATCTGAGCCACGGTCATCAACCCACCACCACCTACACCAGTAAAAGCACGAAAGACTATAAGCTGTGTGGCTGTCTGCGAAAGCGATGCCGCCAGTGAGCCGATGAAAAAGATGCCAAGTCCGACGAACAGGACGAGTTTGCGAGACCATATGTCTGAAAGGCGGCCATATATGAGTTGGAAACAGGTCGAGGTGCTACTTGTTGTTAGCATCCCGCAAAGGTAACACATATTAGTTGATTACTTACACAAAGTATCCTCCAGATATCCAAGAGGCTTTATCACTGGCATCCAAGGCATTTCCAATGATTGACAAACTGGAGGCCAGAGTGGTCTGGTCCATCAATGCTATGAGGTCGACTGTCGAGCATGCTAAGAATATCTGACAGCATTGTCAGCTGAAGATAGTGCTTATTGTGGTTACTAGTATACGTACCGTTATAATTGTGCTTTTCGGCACATAATTTGTCTGCTCATTAAAGACATGGGGTGTCTTCGTCTCCCCATCGGTCTCTACAACAGCCGTCCCCGAGGAGTCTGACGAGCTTGGGGGCTTGTCTGAATTGAGCACTCCTCCTGACATGGTGCTCAGAAGTATTTCGAAGCTATCGGGCGGGGGAAGTGAGGTATAGTGACGAGAACCGGCACATGCCTTTAAACGACGAAGAATACGGCCATCCTAAATCGGAGCCATATTCTGGGCAATTCTAAGCGAGCGGGTCCTCAGATGTAAATAGTGAAGATCGCTTTGCAGCAAAATAAAGTAGTCCATGATTATAAAAATGACGAATCATCAATTTCAGCTCCGTTGACGGGATTGAGAAGGACAAAAATGAAACGCTGCCGCTAGTCGGTTAGGGCTAAGGAAATGATCAGCGCGAGTGTTCCACAACTTGCTCAAAAGGACTCATCAAGGTACTCACACAGGCCTTTCGCCAAGAAAACAACAAGTCCAGAACCTGATAGCAAGCTTGCAGATTGTGAGGACCTGCGTGCTTTTTGTATGTCTGTCGCACCCCGGCCAGGGACCTTGTGAGTGACTTCTGCCCCTGGATTGGTCTTCACACCAGCCTCGGGCTAATGGACTGGTAGTGATGAGTACTACAATGACTGGTAACAAAGCAATTTTGGGAGGCATTGAGTTTAATGGCCATGTAGATCTTGTCTTGTCCTCGCACCCTGGGGGAAAGAATTCTCTTCCATATGTACGGGTTGCATACTATTTCCTACCCAATGTATGTGACTCCATAATGCCATCCAGCATCGGCTGATGCATTATCCAGCCAATATCCACGTTTCAGACCAAGCGGATAGGATCTTCATTGTCGTAAGCCGCCTTTCCAGGTCAGTCATTTCCTCAAAAGGAATATTTTGTTCTTAGATCGAGAAAAATAACGCCATGCGGGTGGGTCGTAACCCTTGATGTTGTAGCAGTCTGGTTTGCTAAAGCTAAATGTAAGAGATTTCGTCAAGGAGGGGTTTATGCATTCTGCAGGAGTATAACTTAAGGGTTGTCCCTCCTTGCAGCTTCTTCTGCATTATAGATCTACTGGTAGACCTTCCTTTCATTTTTGGTATCATCCATTCAAGTAAGGAAGATGACCAATCTCAACGAACGCAATGTATACTTCGGGCGTGATTCCCTCAAGAAGTACTTTGATCCAGATTGTCAACCTCCACTACCTCTAGTTGAACTTCCAGAACATCTGAATCCTTATTATCAGGATGGGGTACGAATTTATGCCAAAATGATGACGATGCACCCAGCAAACAATGTCAAGGCAATGCCAGGTACGTATATTACACCATATACAGAATACTCAACAGACATGCGCTAATGGTGTAGCAATGAACATGCTCGAGACAAGTGTGACACCCGGCAAAACAAATACTATTATCGAGTATAGTTCGGGATCCACGGTGATCTCAATGTCTATGATCGCCAGAGTCATGCATGGCATTCAAGACACGCGTGCATTCCTGAGCAATAAAACAAGCGAGGCCAAGCTCCAACTGATGCAATTTTTTGGGCTTAATATCACTCTTTTTGGTGGTCCCTCCCAACCCGAACCGTATGACGAGCGAGGCGGTATCCAGAGTGCCCGAAGGAGGGCAATCGATTCGGACAGCGTCCTCAACCCAAACCAATACGAGAACGACAACAACTGGAAATCACACATCCGCTGGACGGGGCCCCAGATCTACAAACAACTCCCTGAAATAAATGTTCTTTGTGCAGGCATGGGAACATCCGGAACAATGACCGGATTGGGCACATACTTCAAGGAAGCGAAGCCATCGGTGCTCCGTCTGGGAGTGTGCACAGCCCCTGGCGATCGTGTTCCCGGCCCAAGGTCGTTCGCCCTGATGAAACCCGTGGAGTTCCCCTGGAAAGCAGCCGTCGATGTTATTGAGGAAGTCAATTCGTCGGACTCATTTTCATTGTCGCTGGACCTTTGTCGTGAAGGCATTGTCTGTGGCCCTTCATCTGGATTCAACCTGCAAGGTCTCTTTCAGATGTTGGAAAAGCGCAAGGCAGCTGGTACCTTGTCCGACCTTGCAGGACCTGACGGTTCCATTCATTGTGTCTTCTTATGTTGTGACCTGCCATATCAATACATTGGGGAGTATTTCCAAAAATTGGGCGCTGACAAGTTCCACCCCATTCAAAATGAAGTGAGTTCAAATTAACTGAGTCTCACTGTCCCATTTACTAATTCACCGCCAGGGACTTACCAAAGTTGATCTATATCGCTACGACGAGAGCTGGGAGCGAAGTCCAGTAGTTCTTTTCACGCATTTTTACAATACCCCCAGCGTTTTGTCGGAATGTTTGCTAAGTGACATCAAGCTGAGGCCCCTGTGCGGCGTCCTAGACTTGAGAACCACGGCAGACTTTGCTTCGTGGCATCTTCCCGGCTCGGTCAATATTCCCTTGCAGAGTCTCGACTCTCATACAGCAAAGCCGTTCTCGGACCCCGGTGTACTAGAGGCACAGTGGCTGGAATTAGAAGCAATGTTCAAGGATCCGAGCGTAATCACGAAGCTGGAGTCCCACCACGTATTGGTGATCTGCTACAATGGAGACACAGCCCGAGTGGCCACCAGTGTGCTGCGGGCCAAGGGGATCGAGGCTGACAGCCTTCGGGGAGGATACCAAGCTCTGAAAGACCACGGGTTATGGGGTCGCAGTGGAGTTGAGTCGGTGGAGAAAAGTGCATATCCAACGGCAACCACGACGGAACTGTCAGTATCAACAAATTAACCACAACGCTAAGCTGGAAGGGGCATGGATTTTAAATTGATATGTTCGGATAAAAGATTTATGTCTCTTTTTTTTTTCTCATTCTCCTATTTTTTGCCTTCCATCTTTTTCTTTGGCATGTCATGAGGCTTTCAATTCCATGATGATTACGATGATTGCATAAATTGACTTCTTGAAACCCGTGTCTTTTACTCTCGAGTTGTAGTTCCGGATAGGATCCGTCTGAAATCGAACATAATGGGAGATTAAAGTTCTCTCAAAATTGCAAACACCAATATTAGACCATCGAATCCAACGCAAATGTGCTCACTTAAAGAATTGCATGCGTATCTGTGCGTGAGATTTAATTGACTTGATCGGCATTTAAATATGGGCAGGGACACACACCACGACGCTAAATCCAGAAATTTGCTCAATTGCGAGCATCCCAAGCCTCTTCCGGCCAATCAGCAGCTACGGAATGCTGCAACCCTAAAACGGCTTGCAGCAGTTGCGATGAGGATTGCAATGCATGCATCGGTGACACATCCCCAGTCTAGGGTTAATGGTGCAATCATGCTGGTGCTAAAGTGAGTTTAGAGGGTGGAGGAATTTACCATCTGACACGTCTCCGATACAGCTCATCTTGAAGATTTTTATCTGACATTTTTCCTGCACTCTATTGCCCATCTTTTCCTTGATTGGAACGCTTTAAAAAAAAACGAGAAATCTGTTGAAGAGGTTCTCCCTCGTTGGTGCAGGCATCTGAATAACTATCGGTGCAAACCTGGTCCCTCATACTTATGAGATTCGTGGTGTGCAACCTTCACGATGATGTCCATGGATGAAAAGTCCAGCGGCGGCCTGCCATGGCTGGACATGCCGGTCATGTTCCACTCGTCCAGGGCCGATACATGCAAAATGACACCGGAGCAATGTGCCTACCGATCAGGGTACTGGCGATACTGGTACTTTCCCTTTCTATACCAACATTAGAAATGTCCTGCTGATGATTGGACCCGTTGCAGGTACGAAGCAGACCACGTTTATTCATTAAACACAGTATATTTTCTTTGTGCGACTATCGGGTTCTTTACAATCGTTCATTTTCTCTCAAAGTATGCACCGGTACGAGCAAAACGAAGCGGCATATGGCGCAAAACAACGGCCATTGGGCGATACCTCGCATACAAAGGGTATGAACTACCTTCAATTCGATATTGCTCTCCTTCGTTGGGTGCTATTCTTCTGGGTATTGTAGGCACAGTCTTTTTCTTTGGTTGGTACACCCAGTTCGCTCAATGGTTTTCATATTGCTGATGCAGATAAGCCATGACGCTCGGGCCGAAACCGTACTACTGGCCCAATTCGAAAGATGGGACAGTCTCTTATGGAAACAGTCCGCCTATCGCAACTCGAACTGGATGGATGGCGTTGGGATTGCTGCCTTTTGTGCTGTGGGTACCTGAGCCCTTATCCAATATCCGATGCTAACCAACGCAGGGCTCTCGGTGCCAAAGCCAATCTTATATCAGCATTGACTGGAGTGTCTCATGAAAAGCTTCAGGTATGTTAACAAGGGCCAGAACTATATAGTATGGCTAACCGGTTAGGTCTACCACTATTGGACCAGTTATGCCATGTTCGTCCTGGCTTTGATACATACCTTCCCGTTCATAGTCTTCAATATCTGGAAAGGGCAAATGGTCGACAAATGGAACACCAGTGTGGTCTACTGGACCGGAGTTGCTGCCTTAATTCCACAGGCATATCTCACATTGATGTCCCTGCCATCTATTCGGTAAGCACACACCTATCAAGCGTCGAACATCACTAATTAATTGTAGAAACCGGTATTATGAATTTTTCAAGGCAACACACTTCCTAGTTGCACTGCTCTTCCTTCTCTTTTTCTTTCTCCACTGTGATTTCCGCCTTACTTCTTGGTAAGCTCTCCTACTTGTGAAAATATACAGTCCGCTAACTACTGTAGGGACTATTTTGTTGCCGGGGGCGCAATATATCTCTTCAGTCTTTTTGCAGCATGGACGCGCACGCATCTCATTAACGGCCGTCACTCAGCTACAATTGACCTCCTCCCTTGCGGTTTCGTACGCGTCAGAATCCCGACAATTATGTCCTGGCGACCAGGTCAGCATGTTTTCATTCGATTCGTAAGCCCACAGCTAGGCTTGCACTGCCTAACAGCGCACCCGTTCACCATCTGCTCTCTATCGTATGACCCGGACAAGGTCGGCAAGGCATCTGAGATCGTGTTCTACGTTAAGCCTCACAACGGTATCACCGCGCGTCTGGCAAAGGTAGCGGCTAAAAGCCCTGTATTCTCCCAGACCGTGTTTTTAGAAGGGCCTTATGGCGGGATATCTGATACTGCTGCTCCCGCCGAATTCGATACTGTTCTTGTCATCGCGGGTGGCTCCGGCGGTGGGTTTTCTCTAGCTATCGTCGAAGAAGCTCTTCGAGTGTATGGGAATATACCCGATCTCCAACAACGAGATATCCAAGTCGTTTTCGCCACACGGAATACCGACGTAGCCAAGTGGTACAGGGAGGAGATTGAGGATAGGGTCTCCATGTACGACATACCAGCCAAAAGAATATCTGTGTCCATTCATGACACCTCGTTGGAGCATGCCCAAACGCCAGTGTCTGCACCAGGAGCCAAACAGCCATCCAACGACATCATCGATGAGGTTGAGCCTGCCTTGTCAGAGAAAGAAAGTGATGCTGCAGCAACAGACCAGCACGTGAGCACGGTTCTACATGGTCCTCGGCCTAATCTCCCTCAGATAATCAATACAGCTACGTCAACAATGAGTGGCCACAGGATCGCTATCTTCGCGTGCGGTCCTGCATCCATGCTACATGACGTTCGGAATGCGGCTGCTGAGGCGCAAAAGCGGGCATTGAGAGGCGGTGCTGAGGTCTATTTGCATACTGAGCCCTTTTCATGAGTGTTCATTTTCTGTGTCTCGGGTCATCTGTGCATAAGTGGAATGTTTTGCTGGGAGTTAGATCCTATTATCCAATTCAGACGCCGCCAGTTTTGTGAGAGCAGTACATAAGTATTCTATATACCCTCTAGACTATTTATTAACTTCTTAGTAAATATATACCAGCAGCTTTAGTTTCTCCCAGGTGAACTTTAGATTATTTAGTAAATACCTTAGAGAGTTTTGGTTTTACTCTGCATTTTTTAATCCTGGCCATATACAAAAATCGGTACTCTGAGTAAATACGAACATATTTCTGAACTAAGTAAAAGATAAGGTACTCAAGTTACTTATCTACTTGCATTGTATAAGAAACATCCCCTTACCTTGAAGCCTTTGACCGAGTGCAATCCATATCTCAGACTTGCTTAGAAACCAAAGTTTATATCGCACGTCAGGCAAACCCTGTACGGCGATAAGCAGGAGTTTACACTCTTTACTGTCTGCTCACTGGTCAAATCCTGAGTAAAATGGATCTGTGGAGCAGATAGACCCTGACCATCTTCCTGATTAAGTATTATCCTTACCTCAATCAATCGTTACCCCGGTTTCATCCAACTCTATCGACGCCATCGAGCTATACAGAAGTGTGTTCTTACTATCCATCATAGTGGGCCCCATACTCGGTGCGCTATTCAGCGAATACGTCAATTGACGATGGATCGGCTGGATTAACCTCCCAGTAATCGCGGTAGCAGTCACGCTAGCAATATTCTTCATGCGCCTCAAACCACTGGAGCAGTCATTACGCACGAAGCTCGCCCGCATGGACTGGATAGGCATGCTACTCTTCCTAACCGGAAGCAGTCTGTTCGCAGTACCGCTAAGCTGGGCCGGAAACATGTACCCATGGGGCTCATGGCGAACCATCCTCCCCCTGGTAATCGGGGCACTGACTCTACTCATCTTCGCGATCTACGAAGCCCGTCCAGCAGAGCCCGTCTCCCCTTACCGGATCTTCCGGTCACGAACGGCCCAAATGGCTCTCATTGGAAGCTTCATCCAAGGTATGGTCCTCTACACACTCCTAACCTACCTCCCGTTTGTCTTCCAAACCGTATACCTCGAGACACCGCTGAAATCAGCCATCTCCATCCTCCCCTTCTGCTGCGTCCTCATGGCCTTCTCAGGCATCGCAGCCAGCACAGTCGACTACTTCCGGCACTACCGCTGGGAAGTCTGGACAGAGTGGATCTTCCTCGCGCGTGGGTGTCCGCCTCTTCGCTCTCGGGGATAGTACCTTCCCCCCTCAGCATGACAGCCAGCGCCCAAGTCATCGCGAGTATCGGCATCGGGACTATCTTCACGGTCCCGCCTATCCCAATGCAGGCGAGTGCGCCGACGGCAGAAGACCAGGGGTTAGCTGTGGGCGTCTTAGTCTCGTTTCGGCTGTTTGGTACGCTTATCGGGCTCGCTGTCGGGGCGACTACCTTCAGTAGTGTATTTCCAAGCTTGATTGCGTCAGTCGGGTCGCTGCCGGGGGAGGTGGCCTTGTTGCGGAATGCAAATGAAGCTGTCGGGTTCATTCCTCGTCTTAGGACAGTGGGTGTTCCTCTGTCGCTGAGGGATGCTATCTGTAGAGTGTATGGAGAATCGTTGCGGGCTATTTGGTATATATTGGCTACTTTTGGGGGGGGTGGGGTTTCTTACCTCTTTACTGGTGGAGGAATTGACTGACTATTGAGACGGCGGAGTTGGGGAGACAGCATTTTGAGGATGAGTCGGGTTGATGTTGATTCGGTTTGGATGTTATACTTCCCGGAGTATAAATGTAGTTACGTTGAGACTTGGATTGAATAGATTGGATGTAAAACCAAGGTCGTGCAACATTCGACTCGGGAAGACAGGAGGGTATACGGAGTTCACTTTTAACATGTCACTTCATGTTGGTTCCCGAAAGATTCCAAGCGTATATCCTGATGCTCATGGATGTGCAATCCTTTGTCGCTAAGTTAGAAAACATCGTTGCTGGTTCTATGGCGGGGATGGGGTGGGAAAGTAAATTTGGTTAATGAACGTACGAGGGTCGAAAACTCTACAAGGTTTACTGGACATGAAGATTACCAAAAAGAAATCAAAACGTTTAGGGTATCAAGCTATAGAGTGCGTCAAGCTTTTCATTTTTGTACTAATTCAGACCATCATGCCGTCAAAGTCCCTGTCCCAGTACGAACACCAATCGCCCAGTGTAGGCGAATCTAGTTCATCTGGCGGATGAGGGCGTTGATGTTCTCCTCACGGTTACCGTAGTCACCACCCTCGATGAAGTGCTTGAACTTGCGCTTGTGGAAGCCACCAGTGGGGTTGGAGAGCTTGAAGGGCCAGAGGAAGTTGTTGGCCTGCTTGAAGTTGGGGCCAACGGTGTAGATCTCGTGGATCAGATCCTCAACGCAGACAATGCCGTACTTGCCGAGGTTCTCCTCGATGATCTGGTTGTCGGAGATGGCAACACGCTGCTTGTTGACCTTTCCGTAACCACGCTTGTAGATGAGCTCACGGATGCTCTTGAGGTTGGGGTAACCGTAGGCAATGTAGGGGTTGATGATGGTCAGCATCTCCTGGGTAGCCTTGGTAAGGCGAACGAAGGTGCCGTTGTTGATCTGGAGCAGACGGAGGAGCTGCAGGATCTTGCGGGGCTGGGGAGAGATCTTGTTGATACTGTTCCAATAGTTAGTCGCTTGATCTACAACAATGGACAAGCCACAAAAAACTCACCCCTTGATACGGATAACGAAGACAAGCTTGGGCTCATCGGCAACGTAGAAGTTACCCTCCTTGCGAGCAACGCGGCCAAGGCGGATCTTCTCACGCTCAGCATCGCGGTACTCCTTGACGTAGGACTCGGCGCGCTTGAAGATGGTGGCACGCTTCTCCTTGTTGGCCTATACATTCTCCGTTAGCGAGAATTCTACCCAGTTATTCATAATAAAGACAGTGGTAGTGTGTAACGTCAGCCCCGAAAGATGGTTAACAGAAGCGACAGCATCGACCGATGGTCTAGTCGCGTAGTGGTTGCTATCATCACCCGCTTGTGTGAAAAGGAAAGGGAAATTAAAAAAAGTGAATACTCACGGCCTTCTTCTTCTCGGCCTCCTCACGGGCGACAGCGCGAGCCTGCTCCTGGCTCTTGCGCTTCTTCAGGAGAGTCTCGGGGACGAGGACATGGTCCTGAGTGGGGACGGTGCTGTTAAGGTCAGTTTAGTCTGTCCATGCAAAAATATGCATATATTCGCCGAGTGTAAGAACTGCAGCTATAGCGCGGCATTCTCAACTGAAGGCAAGAAATAAAGAAGCACTCGACGACATGTATTTAATCAGTGAGACATGAAGGGCCTGCCAGCCGATAGTGGAACGTTGCTACTAGTGATGCATTTTCAGCATCGGTTCACAACACGGCGATGGCAGCGACAACCATGTGATTCTCATCCGACAAGGCCCCGAACATAACGCTCAGGAAAACAGTGTTGACGCCGTTCGTCCCATCCTTGTCAAACCATTTCGGGTCTACTCAGAGGATGGAAACGCAGCTCGCAACAATTTCTTTCAAGGAGAAGGCAGCTATGGCTTTCAACCTCAATACCCCAGACCGTTGTGAAACCCATCCATCATCTCGTGCTCATATTACTGAGGCGCAAGTTCATGAAGGGAGACAGGTCACGGGAAAAATCGAGCTGGTGCCCAGCGACCGTTTCTGATCGCAGCATCTCCAGCGAGAAGGACGACTATAACTTCAACCCTTACAAGCTCATAAAGCGAAGCAGCCGAAAGGGTATCCGCTAAAGGGTATCATACGTAGCAGTAGAGGCCATTGCGACGGTCCGTTGAGTTCGCGAGGTGGGCGGTTGGCGAATGCTGTCGTACTGGAAGAAGTTCAAAAAGAAAATTGCTTCGAGTTGAAGAAAAACGAGTTTGTGGGTGGGTCACCGCACTATCCCGCATACGGCTAGCCTCTATTGGCACAGCGACCTTCCCCTTCTGGGTGATCTGCTTAGGGCAGATACATGTCAGCTGACAGCCTCCGATAAGGCGCTGCGATAACCGATGACATGACGCTCATCGTGATGTTCTCCATACCCCACGTCCCTCCTCTCTGCCTAATACCTATCCTAGACTATAAATTGCCATGGCATCGCGTCGAGGTGTCGGGCTAGGCGCCTTCGCAAACCGCTCCCAGGCTAGCCAATCCTACGCCAATCATGGCGCCAATCTACGCTCCACGCATCTCTCCTCCCTGCAGGCACAATTATCCGTGTTCCAGTCATTACTCCACACATTCGCATTAGAGCATAGCTCGACGATAAAGTCAAATCCAACATTCCGTGCAGAGTTTGCTCGAATGTGCAATGCGATCGGTGTTGACCCACTTGCAGCGAGTAACGTCAGAGGCAAGAATGGTCGGAAGGGAATGGGTGAAGGGGCAAGCTTTTGGACCCAAATTATGGGCGGGGATATGAACGACTTTTACTTCGAGCTTGCCGTCCGTATAGTAGAGCTTTGCCGGGAAACAAGGAGTGAGAATGGAGGCTTGATAGGCGTTGAGGAGTGCCGTAAACGTGTAGGTAAAGGCAAGGCTATAGGGAGCGGGTTGGAAGTAGCTGAGTATGAGGCCTCGAACCATGCAGTACAGAAGGTATACTAATTGCTATTTTTGTAACTTAGTGACGATGTTCTACGTGCCGTGAAGGCTTTGGAACCCTTGGGCTCTGGATTTTCGATTGTCCGCGTTGGTAGCAAACAATACATCCGATCGGTCCCGAAGGAGCTTAATACAGACCAGGCCACAGTGCTCGAGGTTATTCAGATCCTTGGCTACGTGAGTATATCCATGTTGCAAATAAATTTAAATTGGGAAAAGGCCCGGGCGCAGACTGTTATTGATGACCTTCTGGCGGACGGTCTCGTCTGGCTTGATGGCCAAGGTGAAGAGAATGAGTATTGGTCACCACAGAATCTACTTGACGATAGTGGATAATGCTGTTGTCTAGTGGAAAGCTATTCTTTTTGATCAGGAGAGATGTTCTATTTCATGGGTGTTATGGCGATCGAGTGGATAACACCCAAAGGTTTCGTTCAACCAATTCGAAACCTCATTTTTACAGACGATGAAACATAAGTAGCATCTGAGGCTGTGGACGCATAAAGATTAATAGAGGAACAGCCAAATTACCAGATGGATTGGCGAAGTCTGGGGTATTGACGCTGCCATTCTGGACCACGTCCTCGGGAAATATATATTTTCGGGCGACCCGCAAGATCCAATCGCTAGTCTTACCACGGCCTGATATACGGATGAAAATTATAAATATATCATCATATTCGTATTTCCACGTAAACATACCTAGAGTAACTGTTTCCTGGTCCGAATATGTCTATGTTTACGTCCGTTTCCTTGCTTTTGCTTTGCTTCGAGCACCTATTTCTCGACCACGCTCTGTCCAATTCTAAAAGGGGATTTATCTGTAAAAGAGAAAATGCCATATGTATCAAGAAAGGAATAATCGAGAGATTGACAAAACATTCGTCAATAATAAGAGCACATGGGATCATACGTAGTTAAATTCCAGGAGCATTAGAACCATGAAAACAAAAGGATGCCATTACAAACAATTTTATGCCTTGATCGCTCCGCCCAATGCACCACCGCTGAATTGCTGTCCACCGGGCCGACGGCCTTGTTGGCCGCCTGGCAGTCTGGGTCCACCACGGGCTTGGCCTCCACGTCCAGGGCCACGGCCTCCACGGGCGCCGGCGCTGATCGCGCTGGAAAGCGTTGGCCATGCCTTGAGTGCGCTGCTCGAGAGTCTTCTCGTTGGCCTCCAGAAGGTTCATCGACTTGTCGGCAAGAGTGACGATCTGGGACTGGAGACGCGACAGCTCAACACCCTTGCGGAAAACGATGGCATCGTTGACCTGGTCAAGAGCAGCGGCGAGCTCCTCATGAGAAATCATACGGCTGATGATGGCGGCAATCTTCTTCTCAGACAGCTCGAACATGCTTGACAGGGTGGAGATAGAAAGACTATCGTAGAAGGGAGCATATGTGAAAAGGTACGTTCTCAGGCCCTCTTCTTGGATCTGCTGAGACAGCATCTCCTTGATCTTATCGGGCTGGGGCATCAGATCCCAGATCTTGATGGAGTTGAGCATCTCTGCAGCCTTCTTCCAGTCACCCGCAGCAAGGAACTTAGCGCTCATGATGACACCATCACGAGTGTTCTCTGCAGGGCCAGTGAATACTTGACGCTCATTGTAATCCAACATACGACGGAAGGTCTTTGAGATGATACGGCGCTTCATTTCGGGTGAAGAAGAGGTCTGAGCCATGAGAGGGACTTCCAAGAACATGCTCGAGGTAAGGTAGATGCACTCAAGGAGCTCAAGGTTGATGTGCATGTGGAAGGGCAGCTGACGCTGACGCTCAAGACGCTCCTGCTCAGGAGAAACAGTAGAGTAACGTTGGAGGATGATACCTTGAGCGAGAAGTTCCTTCTGACGGCCACTGCCACACACTTCGGACAGGGTATTTTGGGCCTCGTAGATAAGGCCAGCACGGAATGCGCACAGACCGATTTGAACCAGGGTCCTGTTGAAGAGAATCTGGGTGTTGACATCGAAGTTGGAGATGTTCTCGGTAAGGTGAGACATGAGCATCAAGTCACGAGAACGGTAATACTGGTCGTGCAAGGCAAGGAAATAGATCTGGCAGAGCATGGCACGGGCCCTGATGATACCGTCACTGTATGTGAAGAGATAGTTGCACAGGGTCTGAACCAGTCCTGTCACGTCACCCGCGCTTCCACGAGGAGTAACCTTGGAGTCCAACTCGGAGGGAAGTTCCTTCCAAGTACCCTCTTCCAGGATTGTAACAACCTGAGAAGGCTTGAAGTAGATGTGCTCCAGCCTGCGCATGACAACCCGGTTGAGGCTGTCCTGACGCGGGTCGCTCTTCTCAGCCTGGACAAGACCTTCAACGTAGGCCTGAACGCGGACAAGGTTGGTATACAGCTGCTTCTCATCGCTCAGACGATCGATGTATTCAGCAGTGTGGGGATCGATGTGTTGCAAGGACCGAGTCAGCTCGTCGTCGAGCCTCTCAACGTGAGACACGATGCTGCCTGGGACATGCAGGGTCTCGCCTGGCTTGACCTGGGGTTGCTTCTCATCATCTTCCCACTCTTCAGCTCCCTCAGTGACAACATGGTCGCGGTTGGTCTCGAGGACAGACAGCAGAGCAGCAAGTTCCTTCTCAGCAAGCTTCCATTGATCGACACTCATGTAGTTGGCGGAAGACGTAGAGCTAATATCGAAGCGGGTAGAGAGAAGAGTGAGGTAGACACGAATGCGTTGGTAAGGAGTCTGAGCAACCTCCAGGAGCTTCTCCATGGTCTTGATCTGCTCGAGGCGGTCTGTGTTCTTCTTTCCTCTGGACTCGACAATGACGCGGAGGTGCTTGAGAATGCTCTCTGGGGTGTACTGCAGGGTCTTGCCACCACGGCCAACAGTAGCGAAACCATCATCAGTAGCGGTTGCTGCTGCGGGTGCCTCGACAACGCGCTCAACCTTGGTCAAGCGCGGGGCCACGACGGCGGGCTTAGCCTCCTCTTCCTTGCCTTCCATGTAGCCATCCTTATCTTTGCGATACTTTTCGATATGAGTGGCGTACTCCTTGTTGTTCTTCTTGATACGTTGCTTGACCGCGTTGAAACCCCTGGAGTTGCTTGCGTTCATCGATTTCTTGGATGACTTCTGCTTCGTAACAGCCTCGTTCACGAAATCCTCGAGATCGGCAACGGCCTTGACATAGATTCTGGGAACTGGGCCCGATTGCGTGACCTTCACGACCTGGCGGTTAAGCTTATCGAACTCTGAATCCTTTTAGTCAGTATGCATGTACCAAAGTTATCCCTACACGGCCATATTTTTCAGACTATATCCAACGCACCTGACGAAATAACAGCCCAGTCGTTGATTTTCTCGGCATTCTCGATCAACTTGATGATGCCCTCAAGTTCCTCCAGTCTCTTATCCTTGGCACTCTTCACAACCGTTACTTTCTCCTCATCCTCGCTCTCCTCGCTCTCCGATGCATCCCTCAAGAAACGATTGGCACCGGTTTCACCCTCGTCATCGGAGGACTCCTCCTCCGAAGTCTCCTCCTCCTCCTCGCTGGATTCCTCCTCAGACTTCTCCTCCTCCTCGCGATCGGTGAGAAGCTCCTCCTCATCCGAGCTGGAATCGCTGTCGCTACCGCTACCGTAGAAGAAACGCGACATATTGGCGGATTTTCAGGTAATTCGGACCGGAAAACGTCGCGGGGTTCAAAAAATGGCCGTCTCCTTAGGTGGTGAGACGCACGGTCGTGGGATGATTCGAAGGACGATTCCCTTAAAGCCCGTCGGTTCGCTCTCAGAAAATCAAGTTGTGAGGGTTGGAGCCGCAGAGTCAGGCCGCGAGCCACAACGAAATTTAAGCGAGGTGGCGCCTAACCGTATCGGGTAATCGTCCATCGTACTACGGATCGCGCCTCCGCGACTAAAGGTCCTAACAATGCGGAGAGGATTGTTCATATCAAATAAATGGGCTTAGATAATAGATCTACATAATCAGGCGGCCTCTCCTTCCACCTGCATCCCATTAAGTGAGTAGGAGAGAGTAGCAGAGACTTTCTTTGCGCAAAAACAGACGGTGGTTCGATATTGATGAAATCCAAATATCCAAGCTTAATGATGCTTCTCTTAAACGGGTTCGAATCAAAGGTAGAAAAAAAGGAAACAGATTTATGATGGGAAAGGGCGTACCATTTCCGGACAGAAAAGAAGAAGCAAAAATGTAACATTTAACATGATAATGCGGTAACAAATAACATAAATCGCGGTCTTTCCAAGTACTCCTGGCTATGCGACAACAGCCACATGCACAAATCTGGAAGAACTCGACTGCAAGACAGTAAACCGACGGCGAGCACCCGAGCACCCGAAAGGCGGTTGTGAATAAGAACCCCTATGTAGCGTCGGGGGCGTCGTCGGCGAATCGCCCGTGAAATGTTGCGCACTCAGCACCATAGCGGGGGACTGATTTTATTTTATTCCCTCCTAGCCAAAGCTCGAAGCTATGCCGTCTGCTAGTCCGCAGACCGTGCCAGACCAAGTGCACAACTTGAATGAACAGGGTGCGCATTGGAGGACTTTTCATTCACGATCGGGGTATGTTGGATGGCAAAGGCTAGTGGCAGAGGGGTTGGCAGGGAAGCGGGCAAGGGTCCAAATATCAAGCAAAACAGAACGATACTTTGGAGCAGCTCTGCGGTCATGCCTCGAGAGGACACGCATCTGGAGCTTATGCTTGCCCGGTCCAAAGTGCACTCGCTAATACAAGATGTTAATGCACCCACGGGTGCCACTCAAACTGGGTTTCAGCACATTTGTGCTTAGTGCCACTGATTCTGACCCATGAAGCCATCTCCCCCTAATACACCGTCTTCAAGGGTCCTAATGAAGTCACGATTACGTGTGCCACCTGCGCGACTTCCTCGTCGTCGTTGATTCGCAGCACCGGTGTCAACATATCCGTCAGGAGGGGGAGGGTAATATGCCGGGCTGGGCTGTAATCGAATGGGTGCGTTCGGGTCGAGATGGCTGGCAACTCGCTGAATGGTCGGTGGGACCCCGCCACCCTGAGGGTCCATCGTGGAGGCACGTTGCCGACCCGCTCTTGTAGTTGCCTGGGCATAAAGACTCTGGGATGGTGCGTACTGTGATTGGGGCATCTGGCCTGGCATAAGATTCATCTGATGACCGTAGCCAGGTGGCTGCTGGGTAGGGTATGGCGGAGGGGCGCCTTGTTGGTGGCCTGTGAACACTCCGTTGTACATGGGAGGTGGGGGCTGGGCATGAGTGGGTGTGTGGAACTGGTTCAGTTGCATCGAGAAGGCAGTCTGTGCAGCCGACTGAGCGTGTGCTGCTTGCGCCGCTCTTTGTTTGCTTGCGGCCTCAGCCTGCTGCTGCTGCTGAATACCAGGAGCAACAGTCTTGTTAAGAGAGGAATATTTCAGGTTCATGGGAGGTACAAAAGGCCCTGTGAACTTCTGTTGTGTGATGAAAGGATGCAGCTTGGCTTGTTGTGGAGACCACCGCTCCAGCGGATTGATTGATAGCAAGCCGCGAACAAAATCAATGAAAGCCACTCGGTTGTTTAGCTCTGGTGCATTCTGTTAGCGAAGAGAGTATGTGCTGTCTTTGTTGGAGACAAACCTCGCTCAATTTCTGCTTGTTTCATGTTTTTTCTCGGCATCGGGTAGCTTCGAATTATCTCTTCTAATGTCGACGCCTGGAAGTACTTTTTGCTCGGCTGCTCCTTCGTGCCATGCTCCCGCGAATATTGCTCCAGGCTTTTAAGGCGATATGTCTTTCTTCCAAACTCGTCCTGAGTCTTTTCGAAGAATTCACCAGACTGTTTTCCCATCTCTAACATCCACGTTGGCGGCAGACCTAGCATTTCCACAATCCGGCAAACCTGATTGTATTCTGAAGATCCTGGAAAGAGAGGTAACCCCAGGAAGAGTTCAACGACGATGCATCCAAGTGACCACATGTCGATCGCCGAAGAATAACTAACCCACGTCAATCTCGGGTTAGCATTGTGGGGAGGGAGGGAAGATTGAATATAGACGTACGGTAATCCAAGGAGAACCTCCGGGGAACGGTAAAACCTTGACTGTATATATGTATAGACCGTCTGTCGTTCATCACAAGCAGAACCAAAATCGATGACCTTGATTATGGGACTCTCCAGACTGAGAAGCTCAAGTTAGCTACCAAGCCCTGTTCATCAGCGAAGCAAGGACTAACTTTTTTAACAATATATTCTCTGGCTTCAAGTCGCAGTGAATCAAGTGCGCCTTATTCAGCAGGCTCAACGCGTTTAGAAGCTGTTGAGCAAATACACGCACTAGTGTCGTGCTCAACCCTCGGAATTGGTTCTGTTTGATTAACTCGTAAAGATTCACACTTAGTATTTCAAATACCAAACAAAGATGCTGTCGGTGAATGAATGTGTCCTTAAGTCGTAGCAGATGGTGGTCATCATTCTTGTCATATCTGCTGTTGAGCTGCGATAGAAGTAAGTATGCGGGCTCAAGTGCTGAGTAACGAAGAGCTTACCAGATCCAAGACAGACACTTCCATCATGCTTTGGTTGAAATATGCGGTCTTGTTCTTGATTACTTTGACAGCCACGACTTCCTGTGTTTTTAGGTTCTGACACTTCACGACTTGTCCGAAAGTTCCCTGTCCTAGTACATCGAGAATGAGGTAGCGATTCCTAGGATTGTCAATATAGACGGTGATAGACGAGCGGATGGGTGATTAAACTCACTTGTGGCCTGCTTCCTCGCTCCCCAAAATGTCGTTGACGTACAGAATGTAGTCACTGTCCTCATTGTCGTAGCCATCATTCTTGACGCCCTTGCTGGGCTTTGTCAAAACTCGCCTTGGGTTTCTCGAGGATTCGTAGTTAAAGCCAGGGTTGCATATCCGATATGTGGCAGGGAGGTGCGTAGTCAGGGCTTGGAGCGGCTATGAAGATGTTAGAGATACAGCAAGTTGACTAACTCTTGGTACATACACTAATGAAGCCACCCTCAGGGTTAGCACGTCTAAATGGGGGTTGCGCATTAACGCGCGGCTTCAGCTCCTGAACAGATTTGATCTTCTGGAACTTTGGTACTGGGCCTCGGCCTGGTTGTTGGCTGCCGCCAGATATCGACGCAGAGCGAGGAGATCTTCCATCTTGTCCAAAAGGTGCACTGAGTTGAGAACCTGCCGACGGGGGATAAAATTGCTCTGGGCTCATGTCTGTGGGCTGTAAAGGGGGAAGCCGCGGGGCGCGTGAACCAGCTGTTCCATGGGTTACGTCAGTCACCTAACTTCCTAAGTCCGCAAGAAGACGTGAGCTTACAGGGAGGCGACTGAAACGGCTGAGGCGGCGAGGAGTAATTTGGCACTCTTGTTGGCGAACGGCGAGATTGATTCGGCCCAGGCGGAAAGGCATACGCGTTGTGAGGCTTTCCGGGACTCGTATTGTAGGGCATCGAGGGTGACAGCACGTTCATCGGAGAATACCTACGGGCGGCCGATGATTCCTCACTGGGAAAGTATTGGGAGGAAGGCCGGCTATGATGGGATGGTCTTGTTGAATATTTCGCCCGGTTATACGGATCCGCATCTTCCATTGTCGTGTCTGCATCGGTGACATAATCGCGGCTACGTGGCGTCGCAGCTGGAGACGACGCCATCGATACGGATTTTGAGTTCATACCGGCCGACGCGGGCTTTGCTGCGACACCGGGGGTTTGAAAGGCTTCGTAGGTGTATCCCACAGGCGGTTGGGACTGTTGTGGTTGACCGCCGTATTTGGGACCGGGCTGTGGTGGATTAGACGTCAACCCATTATTCAACTGCGCAGGACGACCCATTAAGGGATCCTGGTATGGCTGCCACTGCGAATCCATCTGTCCGTCCTCTTAACACAATGCCTCACATATAACGGAGACTGTCCAGGTCAAGAAATCGGAAGATGACCTTGTCGTCGTGGAAAGCGCACATGCACCGCGACCGGGTGATATACGGTAGTGGGGATGTCAAACGCACGTATCGCGATCAGGCGGAGACGAAGCGGAGCACGAGCGAGCCCTGAAAGCAATTCAAAGATAATGAAAGGAAGGAAAAAGGAATTGAGGTTAGTTGCGATTTGTGTGGCACTTCATCATCCAGACGACTTGTCGCTATGGGGAGGAGGGTTTGGGAGTTCCAAGGGCGAGGCGACCAGTAGACGACGGATGGGGTGTGGGCAATTCACAGTGACGACGTGCGCAACAAACCGAAGTCGATGGGGCTGGCTGACACGCCAAGGGGCTGGGGAAACGAAGGGAGTACCGACTGCTGGAAGCCCCGGGGGTAAAGGGGAATCCAAGCAGAAGCACACAGCCAAAATTGAAGACTGTGTGAAAAGGTGGTGGAAGCAACGTCCAGCCGAAGAAGAGCTGACAACGACTAATTGCGGAGGGGGCAAGAAGAAGAGGGAAGGAAGTGAGGTTGGTGGAGGTGGTGGAGATGCCTGAGATTCGAGGGGAGTTCTTTGCGGTTGAAGGCCTCAGGCTGCCGTTGGGCTTAACATGGCATTCGGGGCAAGGGCAGAGGGCAGCAGCCCATAAAACTAATGTGTATGTGTATTTTGGATGATAGTTTATTCCTCTCTCATTAATAACAAAGCTAGACTACTGCTAGTTAGTCTTAATAGTGTAAAGGGCGCTTGTTTCTTTTAACTTCCTCAACATTCGTATTGGGTTGACCAGGGTGTATGAACGGGCTGCTGATCTCACGACTCGTACACAGTACGGAGTTTGAATACCTGGATTTGCTCTTCCGGAACGGTCCTGGGTTTTTACAGTCCTTCTGAAAGAAAACGAAATTTCTTATTTTGTTTGTCTATATTTTACATTTATTTATTTATTTACACCTTTTTAATTTCACGGGTATTATTTTAAACCCTTCCACTAGGGTTAATGGCTGTCATGAATATTTACTGCATTAGTCCTTAATAATACTTACAATACTCCCATAATTACTCAGTAAGTACGCAGTATTACAGAATAATTAGGTCGCAAAGCGGGTTCATAATGTGCACCTCATACCTATGTTTACCCCGTCCGGCTTGTATGTTCACAAGTCAGTTGCCGTTTGCAGCATGGAAAAGACAGCTTCGGAAGTCAAATACTAGGTAGTTATGCCCCGTGAGATGAAACTTAGGCGGAACTAAATAAGACCAACGAAGGAATTCCCCGATATTTAGTGACATGCTTGACATCCAACAGAGATGAGCCCTTGAATCATAATCGATAGGCATCAATCAGTCAACAACCTGAAAAAGTAGATTAATACCCAATCCAGACTATACGGCGGACGGCGGCCCCAGTGGCCCCCCAATGCCACCAGTGACGTGGGAGGCTAAGACATGACGAACGTCTGGTTAGTCAGTTTGAGACAGTCCAGCCCCAAAGGCGGTCAGTGACTCACTATCAGTGGAACCATTCTGCCGTAATTATGATCATCAAGTCTTGGATCATAGTTGTGAAGACCTTGCTGGTTCACTCACTTCTTATCTGTACTAACCCCCTGATGCATATGACTGATGCGCAGGGAACTGTATAACATAACCCAAGCCCAGCCTTAGAGAGGTCTTTATTTTCCCGAGGTCTCCAAGCAGTATCTTCGTCAAAACTGCCCGCCGAACATGTACTGCGCCACTCATTCTTAAGAGAGTTGTTGGATAATTCCTTACTTCTAAGATATACGCCTCCATTGAAAATTTACTTCGTACATCGTCTCTCCGCATCTAGTAATTCGAAAATCTTGGTATAGCAGCAGCTTCAAGTTCCGTTTCTCTTCATTTTCATTACCGAGTATGTCCAACAACATGGAGGGTGATTCGGAATCCTTAGCTCAGAACGAGCACTCCAAGGACGAACAAGCGATGCTCTCGGATGCAGTCCCGTCAACGAGTCCAGTGATCTCATATCAAGCTCCTGCAACGGGTGCAGATGAAACGAGCCGTCTACGGGAGCTTCAAGCCGACGTTCGCGACCAGGATGACCTCGAGAGAGATATATCTCGTCAGGTAACTGTCACCGTGCCGCTTTGCGATCTTGTTTACTAATGTATATAGGCCGATAGGTTGCTCATGGAGCAGGCAGACGAACGTGACAATAGAAGGCTAGAACGTACAACACATGAAAAAGAGTAAAACCTTCTGTGGCAAAGGCGTTTTTAATGTATTCTAATTTTCTTACAGAAAGCTTGAAGCGCAGATTATAAAAGCACACCAGCGGATGTCCCAGCCTATCGGTACATCTGCTCGGGTCCGCCTACAGAATGAGATTCAAAAACTAGAATCCCGTAATGCCGCGTTGGTGAATGACCTCGAAGAGATACAGCAACGCATTAATGAAAGACATGAAGGACAAGAATCTGGAGGGCCGGCTATGGGAACAGGTCGAATGCCTAATGAGTCTCGCAGAGATTATCTCATTCGAACAGGGAAGATCACACCATTTTCTAAAATGAGCACCGGCCCGAATGAGGGACCCCTTGCCAGTTTGCATGATGCTCTGATCGACGCCGAAGACGAGCGCGATGAAAGGGAAGCGTTGGAGGAAGTCAAAAATCGATCTGCAGTATCTCACCGGAACCTTGTGCGCCCTAGCTTTGGCTTTGATGAAGCGAGCGAAGGATCTATGGACGGGGATGAACAACCAAAAAAGCGGAGAAAATTGACCAAAGAAGCTAAGGACAGAGGGACAACCGTGGATTTCGATGAAATGGATGGGATAACAAAGACTCTGGGAGATGTACCTTCGGATGATGGCTCAGCAAGTTATGTAGCGTCGGAAGAGGAAAAGTCACCATCAGAAGACGAGGATGACTTTGTACCCGAGGGAACGCCGCCGCGATCCGCAGTCCGAAGCAAGGCCAAGAAGACCCCAGACGATGTCGAGGATTTCAGCGGGCTGGACGATGGAAACGAGAAGGTCTATCAATCCAGGCTTCAGGATTGGATCACCCGAAGAAGTGCTGCGCGGAAGCGTGCCTTGCAGCGCAGTACAAATTCTCATGAACATGAAGAACAGGAGGAGTGGTTCATGCCTCACCCCAGTGTACCCGACGTGGACTATGACAACGGATATCGTGTTCCTGGTGATATTTATCCCCTGTTGTTTGACTATCAGAAGACAGGGGTGCAATGGCTATGGGAATTACAGCAGCAGCAAGTAGGAGGCATTATTGGAGATGAAATGGGGCTTGGGAAAACAATCCAAGTCATTTCTTTCCTGGCTGGGCTTCACTACAGCAAAAAACTAACAAAGCCGGTCATTATTGTGTGTCCTGCGACTGTCATGAAGCAGTGGGTTAATGAGTTCCACCGCTGGTGGCCCCCTTTTCGCGTTTCAATTCTGCACAGCTCCGGCAGCGGGATGGTAAATATTCGAAATGAGAGTAGTAGGGAAGATGCGCTTCTGTCTCAGACGTGGGATAGTCGTCGTAGTCTGGGTGGGCTGAAAGCCGGAAGAAAAGTTGTCAAACGTGTGGTAGAGGAGGGTCATGTGCTGGTGACCACATACTCTGGCCTGCAGACCTACACTCCCCTTCTAATTCCAGTGGAATGGGGATGTGCTATACTCGATGAAGGCCACAAGATCCGTAATCCTAACACTTCGATCACTATCCATTGCAAGGAACTCCGGACACCACATCGGATCATTCTGTCAGGCACACCGATGCAGAATAACCTGACAGAGCTTTGGTCATTGTTCGACTTTGTTTTCCCAATGCGCCTGGGGACATTGGTGAACTTTCGAAATCAGTTCGAGTTCCCCATCCGTCAGGGTGGATATGCTAATGCTTCGAACTTACAAGTGCAAACAGCAGCAAAATGTGCAGAGACTTTAAAAGATGCTATTAGCCCGTATCTTCTGCAGCGATTCAAGATCGATGTTGCCGCGGACCTTCCTAAGAAGAGCGAACAAGTGTTGTTCTGCAAGCTCACGAAGTTGCAGAGACAGGCGTATGAGGCATTTCTCGGCTCTGAAGAGATGCAATCTATTCTCAGAGGCCGTAGGCAAGTGTTATATGGAGTGGATATTCTACGAAAGATTTGCAATCATCCGGACTTAGAGAGCCACAAACTTACGTCGCATAAACCAGGCTACGGTAACCCTGATAAATCAGGCAAAATGCAAGTTGTCAAGTCTCTCCTTGAGCTATGGAAGGATACCGGCCATAAAACTCTTCTATTTACACAGCATCGTATCATGTTGGACATCCTTCAAAAGTTTGTGGAGTCTCTGTCGGGGTTCAATTACCGGCGGATGGATGGCACCACGCCTATCGCCCATCGGCAATCGATGGTTGACGAATTCAACAATAATCCAGATCTTCACGTGTTTCTCCTCACCACCAAGGTAGGAGGGCTGGGAGTAAACCTAACAGGGGCTGATCGGGTGATCATCTATGATCCCGACTGGAATCCATCAACCGATATGCAAGCCCGTGAGCGAGCATGGCGGCTCGGACAAAAGCGTGATGTTACAGTGTATAGACTGATGACTGCTGGGACAATCGAAGAGAAGATTTACCACCGACAGATTTTCAAACAATTCCTCACTAACAAGATATTGAAGGATCCTAAACAGCGCCAGACTTTTCAACTCAGCGATTTGCACGACTTATTTTCTCTCGGAGAAGAAGGCCAAGGTCCAACGGAAACAAGCAAGATTTTCAAAGAAGCCGACATCACCTACGAAGAGGGAGGTAGCACGACCACTCAGCAGACACGCGCAGGTACTCGCGTACAGAGTCACCCGCGGGACCGACAAGATGAGGAGAAAGATGTTAGCCGTGTTGAAGGTGTAGCATCAGTTGAGAACTTCCAGGGCGACTCTGAGCCGCCGAGCGACAAAGACCAAGGACCTGCTGGTGCTAATAACGAGTCGCGTATCATGGAGGGCATATTTGCCCGCTCTGGCGTTCATTCCGCGGTGGAGCATGATCAGATCGTGAATGGCAAACGTGTTGTGCGGGCGGATCCCAAGATTATCGAAGCGGAAGCGAAGAAGGTCGCCGCTGAAGCCGCCGAGGAGCTGCGTCGAGCGGGAGAAGCAGCACGGTCTGTGCCCATTGGGACGCCAACATGGACAGGTCAGTTTGGGCTTGCCGGGAGACCGGAGGAGCCCGCAGCGCGCCTGGCCTTCGGTGGAGGCAGTAGTTCTGCGAGACGAGCTGCAGCCGGCCCGTCATCAGCTAGCATCCTGGCCAATCTTTCTGCACGCACACCTTCTTCCCGAAGCGGCAGTAACAGCCCCGCGCCAGGCAAGGCACCCAGTGGAACGGATTTCATTACGATGATTCGGGACTTTATTGTATCCCACGGCGGGTCCGTCCATACGCAGATGCTGATTGACCATTTCAACCGTTTCTGCACTACTCCACAACGATCAGCTGAGTTTAAGGAAATGCTTAAAACTATTGCTGTGCTGGAGAAGGGTGGACGGAACGGTCGAGGTAAATGGTCTTTGAAGCCCGAGTACGCTAAGAGGAATTAATTAGTCGTTTTCTGCGTTTACGTTCTTCTAAACCTGACGTTTCTCTTCTGGCCTCCCAGCTTCGTGTGTGGCTTGATGAGATGGGACAAACACTCCATTTCCTTCCCTCGGTGATAATTTTAGAAGCATTGGAGCAGTGGGCACCGTTTAGAATTGAGTAGCATCCTACCATGGATGGAATATTGACACCGGCTTGGGCTTGAAGTCTACTTCAATGGGTATTGACCCTCCCCATTATTTGTCTATCGTATATGATCTATATAATTTTTGATAGGAAGACAGAAGAATCTTCAATATGCATCTTCTTTCCTCTCCATATGGGCCAGTGGAGTATCAGGATATACCCAGTGTTTCACAACTTCGCTTTCTGCACAGGGATATTACGAGATGGATGTCGTCCACACAAGTTGGTAAGAAAAGATACAATTATGATTACTAGCGATGCAAGACGGTATTTCCCCCCAAGCGTATTGAAACCTGACGATCATGATGTAAGTAATCAATCGAATGCACTTGTATAGAAAATGAAGGATGCTCTTCTTCGAAATGGCTTCCCCTCTTTCCCTTTCCCCTTCCCAATTCTCGTAGTTCTCAACAATGATTGGCACTGAGTTGAGTTACTTAGCACGATTGAGCCTTGCATATTAGCGTATGGAATCGCAATATTCAGAGTGGTTCTGTGCAGTCCTTGCAGAATTGCCCCCAATGGTGGCTCTACCATGGATCTGGCGTGTGGAGAAAAGAACCGAGAGGACAATTATCGACGTAATTGACCATGGGGGTATGACAGTCTCAAGAGGTTGAACCCACAAAACTAATACTAGGTATGATTATCCTTAATCTGCCAAGAAATGTCCGAAAAACAGAGAAAAAGAACTCATGTAGTGATCCTTTAATGTCGATCTCAGTTGTGTCACTGCAGTAAATCATGACACAACACGGTATCGTAGAGGAATTAATAAAAATAGAAGCGACGATCAGTTCGATTTAATTAAAGACGTTTGAGATCTATTCAATCAGGAGCCTCAGAAGAATTTTCAAGACTACCTAAGAAAAGAAACATGATGTACCTTATGGAGTAGGTTCTGTATCAGAAATTATCCACATCGACTACACAATGCATTGCCGCACGGAGAATAGGAATCACACATGATGTACTATACTGTACGTTACTGTGTACATGTGCACTTCGAGGGAAATATTTCTGTACAAAAATAAACCGATCTTACTGTGTAGACTATGTGTGTGTTGGTGTATGTCTCAGAATCTTAGCGATTCTCCGCGTCTTCATCCCCCAGCAACCGACGATCGTTCAACTTCACTGGCCCACTGGGCAAAGGATCTCCGCTGCAAAGACCCAATTCCATGATTTCTTACGCAGACTAAGGGGAAAGAATACAACCGCATTCGGTGGAGCTCTCCCTCTACTGCCAAGTCAGTGACTGACCCCAACTGTCCGGAGTCCTGTGGTACTGTGTAGTACTGCACTTTTTCTTTTTCTTTTTTTTTTTTTTTCTTCTGTTTCCGTGAACGATACCAAACCAGTAACTGATCATTCCACTACTCGGGGAACCGGAGCCGATGTTCTCTCCACAGTCAAGGGAGAAAGTGCATGTGGTGGCTATTCGGACATAAATAGTGCTTCTATCCCATCGCCTCCCTTCGCCACCCCGCGATCGTACATTCCACATTCTCCTCTTCAATCCTGACCTGCCTCTTTTCTCTTCCTTGTCTGTTAGATTATTCTTTAAGAATCCTTATTACTATCGTGCCTAAATTCTCCGAACGAAACGCCAAATTCCTTTCACAATGAAATTCTTCTCTTCGCTCGCCCTGCTGGTCTCCGCCGCTGCGGCCAACCCCATTCTCCGCACTCGCGATACCCCCGAGAACTTTCATCTCAAGACCACTGGCGCCAGCAACTCAGCACATAACGACCTCTATGTCTACGGCTACCACACCGGTGCTGGACTCAACGATGCTGTTCTCACCTCGGACGTCGGTACCGCAAGCCCGGCCTTCCTGAACGGCACGAATGTCCAGTTCAGTCTCGACACGCCTTTTCCTTGGGGACTGGTAATGCGACCACAGAACAACTACGGCGGTAAGCTTTTCCCCCCTCCCCTGACCTCGGGACAGAGGAACATGGGATTAACGTTTTCACAGCGTGGGAGCCGGTCGAGATCAACACTGGATATGGTACCGGTAGTTTCTCCATCAACGATGACGGCTTGAATTGGTCGGAACAGCAGGGATTTGGCGGCTGGTTGGGTAAGTTTTCATATCTAGTGGAGCCTCAATCCGCTGTCAGGAACTCGCCACTAACATCCCCGCCATAGTCTGCGACTGGTACCACAATGCGCCCCAGCTCTTCTATCTGTTCAAGAACTCCAACAGGCAGCCTATCATTCCTTCCTCCTGCAGCACGGTTCAACTCGCCGTCGAGCCTGTTTCCTAAACGGGAAAATCTGCACGAGATTTGCCACTGGCATGCCATGGGTCTCGGAGTGACAGAGACTTGCTGAGTGGTGATTCACAGGGGATCGGAGAAAGACGTCCCGGTCCCTGAGACGATTGTATCAATAACTTGGATACGTACATGCTGATATAAACTTAAATAATCATAATGAGTCGGGTGGGATGGGAGTTGGATTTTGAGTGTATATTATTACACCGTGGTTGACGATCTTCGGTACTTAATGACCCTGATGTTACAGATAAATAGCAATAGCTAGCGGAAAAGAAAAAAAAATAAATTCAATAAACATGGCACACATCCAATAATCATCAATAGTTGTCGAGTGGCTGGTTAAGCGACCGGGAAAACCTCAACGGGAGGGAAACACTTTCAGATCGTAGCGATCTTCCAGAGGTATAGTTGACAGAAAGCATGGGGAATTTCTTTTTGAGGATACTTGCCGTACGTCAAAAAATGCCATGATAAGTTTATCGGCAACAAGAATGAATTAGTGTAAACTACTAATGAGTGAAGAAATCACACGGTCGCGTGAGTGCCTCAGGCCGGCCACCGCCCCAAAAATAGCCCAGCATGTCTCACATGCGCCCAAACGGGTTAGAGCAGCACCAATGAGTCCAGCGGGAGGTTCGTCGTTCCCGCTGTTCTTTTCGTGCCTTCCCTTTCACCAGCCCTTCTTATGTGTTTTGTCTATAGTCACTCTTGATTGCTGTTTTTGCGCCTTCATTTCGATCGCTTTTGCTCTCCCACTCCGACACGTTGGGTTGTTGCGATCCCCAGTCACTCGCTTTGTTTACTCGTTCAGGGTCCCCTCATATCATATCAGCCGATCTGCATGTTTCACCGGCCCACTGGTCTTAAATAGGACTTTTACAACCCCCCGTTGCCATTTCCTTCCGCGCAGAACCATTCGTCAGCATTGCATTGAACACGATACACCTTGCTAGGTTCATCCATCCACCGTCAGTCAGCGTTCGTTACTTGGACACATATCGCTCGAACCTCGGGAGGACACAGATCCAACCGTCGATCTAAATTTGAGATCTCCAGGGGTCCATCAATCCCCCCATATTTTGGTCCAAACCAGGCAGTGAATCTTTCGGATTAACCCAATATGCGGTCCATCGCTCTCCTTCCGTTGTTATGCCTCCTGGTCTTGCTGGGTATGGCCTCAGCTTGGCCACACCCGCACGGTGAAGTCGTGGCTAGAGCGGGTGAGTATCATCCGAGGCTGCTATCATCCTTTGATCAACAATCGACTGACCTCTATAGAAACAACCGCTGGAGAGACCGCTGCCGATAAAGCAACAACAGGTGCCGCTGCTACCACTGAGCACAGCGCCACGAAGACCGAATCCCAGAGCGACGCCACAGAAACCGGTAAAAAGACAGAGACAGGCAAAGAGACAGGGACAGCGACAGGCACAAAAACTGGAAAAGCAACGGGCAAGTCAACGAAGACGGGTACCGATGCCTCCTCTACATCGATCGATCCTCGGGACCCCGTGGGTGGTGTTTCGATGCTCACCTCCGCTGGAGCCACCACCTACTACAAGATCGGCGAATATGTGACCTTCGAATGGAAATATACCTCGCTTCAAGTAACTCCCTCGGCCGTCAACGTTGTCGCATCCTGCAGCAAGAACAGTGAAACCTATACCATCGCAAGCAACATGAGCGTCTCGGAAACCGGTAAGGTTGTCTGGGATACTAAGAAATACCAATCCAATGCGACGGTTCCGCTGTTAACCGCGACTTACACCTTGTTTGTCTACGATGCCAACTCCACGCTTGGAGACACCGCTTCTGCTGGACACTTGGGCTCGCAAATCGGTTACAACTTCGGAATGTACACTCCGCAGTCTTACACCCCTCTTGACCGTACGTTCTCCCTTCTCCCATGGTCATCAAGCCCCGTTTATAAACACGCTAACACTAACGCTCCCTAGATTACATCTGTGCTACTTGCAACAGTGCCCTCACTAGCACCGAACGCAACGCAATCAAGTTTGCCGTCGGCATGGCCGCTATCACCGTCGCATCCTTCACGTGGTTTGTAAGCGGCACCGGTGTCTTCTACTCGTAATTCTTCAAAACCGACCCCTGATGAAATTATACGTTACCGTTACTGCGTTGCATTTAGCTGAGCGAAATCTCATGATAGCGATCATCAGCAGGCTGGACTGGCGTTTATGTGATTAAATTGTGTAATATGGTTGGGATTTGTGATTTTGGATTCTTATTTATTTCTTCCCCTTGTCGATTAGAGTAACAGCGGTATTGTTATAATTATTCTATATGATGTTTGTCATTGTTTTATATGATATTGTCGATAGATAAATAGCTAATAGTGACTGATGTATATGAAGTGCATATATTATGAAGAATTTGGAATAAGCAACGGCATCAAAACAATCACGTTGCCCAGACAGCAACGACAGCATACTTAGTAGTGTACTCTACACCAACCCCATGCATTCAATTTGCATACTAATTCATAGTACTGTGGTACATTTACCCGACTTCACAAGAAGAAGGAAAAAAA